TTTTTGTCAAAATTAATCATTTACAGCTTAAATTTTTTTACAAAAATAATGAAACTAACATTTTGTGCTCTAAATTAAAATTTAACAAAAACAATTAAAATATATAATATTCTGTGCTCTTAATATAAACTAAAATTTAACAAACAGAAAAAAAGCAGTATTTATCTCTAAATAAAACAAGTCGAAGATTTTATGCATTTTGAACACTGTTACTAAAAGACGAAATTTCAAGAACATAACATTTGAAAGATTTTGGCAAGAACTGATAATAAACAAACAGATTTCCAGTTGGCCTTGGTAACTTTTTGTCAAAGTTGACATTAGTGCCTCGTCTTCATCAAAATTCCATCAAAAACATTTCCGTCCAAATTTAGAAGTTGTAACAATTTTTAAAATGCATATAAACTTCTGTAAGCGTCATTTATGCACTAACTCTCACGAGCATGTAAACATACCTTGTCCTATGTCGACTTGTTGATTATTGCACACAAAATCGAACAGTAGCCAAAATTCTTCATGTTTGTAAGATTTCTGGTTGTTTCGGCAATCGATTAAAAAATTTTTTTCCACTTAATCCGAAAATAAATATTATATATGGCGTAAATGTGGATGAAAATTTACATTTGCAAAGCATAGGAATCAGGAGCGACATAAAGACATGGCCGGTTTACAAGATTATTCAAATCTTAGCCAAATTCAGAATAATATACAATGCAAACTGAAGAAGTTGCACAAAAATCAGTGTACTTGAAGTGACTTTTTACATTCACTTTAACTCTAGTTCTCGGTGTTCAGTGACGACACTAACATCAAATTACACAACATGGGGATGCTGGACTGATATCTAACCAAGCCTCTCTTTCTCAATCACCCTTGCTCCCGAAAAAATTTAAATGTGAAAGAGTACAGAACAACTTTAATTAAAACGCCCCTCTGACCATTTTAGGCAGATTTTACAAAAATTCAAAAATTCAAACCAAACAAAGTATTTAGGTTTACATACACTTTGGTTGAATATAGAAATTACCGTTTAGAGGAACAAAATACTTTGAAATAACATTTTAGATCTTAAAAAATCTTAAGTAACTGACCAAACTGTAAGAATGGACTGTAATGTAACAGATGAAATAATAAACCCTAAAATCCAATTTTTTTAAATCTACAGAATTTGTTTAAGAATTATTTATTGTTCACTATATTTTTGAGCATTGACGAAAGTTGACGGTCAAATACTTCATTGAATTCTTTCAGAATACCTCCCGAAAATTGGCCTTTGCGACAGCTCAATTGATTTTGAAAATATGGAATGCAAAAGGCTATGATTAAGGTCAGTCCTACAGAAACATTTTAATGGACAAACGATATCTTAATAAAGTGTATTTCCCGTTTTTGTTTATTGACACTTCTGCTTTGTAATACAAATCCTAAACGGCATATAAATGATTCCAATCCTGGGAAATTTTCGTTTATAGCCAACTATAGGGACAGTTTTCTTATCATTTACGCAACAAAGCTCGCCATTTTACTACTTCAATATTGAATTAATTTTCACTTAGGATGGAAATTTTTACCCCACCCCATGATTTAACTTTGTTTCAGATAACAGACATTTGATCCCCGCCCAGCACTGAAAACACCGAGAGCCAGAAGAAGTAAATTCGCAGTCACATTGCCATATTCATAATTGTTAAAAGATCGTTATTGTACATGTATATGTGGACAATTCTGCAGTAACGTGGGTACATTTTGCCCGTTTCATATTGTTGGGATTTCTTGGCGTTATACGTTTTGTTAACAGTGTCTTGTGTCGATTTACATATCTTCCTCTTTTTCGACTGAACACAAGATGAATGTAATTAAAAGTTCTCTATATGCAATTTACATAATAGGGTTGCAATGTCTTTCCTTCCCAGAAGTCAACAACATTTAGAATGAATAAGAGTACATCTTTAAGTTCACAGCGAAGTGTCAAGTTGCAGATTTGCCCACACACATTTTCTGTTAAAATAAAAACATTTCTCTTCTTGGAAATTAATATATGATAAATTTAAAACAATCACTCTTCATTTTTATACATACATCATTTTTGTTAAATGAGAACTTCAAATGTAACGTTTCAGGTTAAAAACAGGCGGGTATCAACCCCGACACAAAAGTACATTTAAAAATTGCTCTCATAACACCATGATTAGATAGAGTACTGTACTAAGACATAGTAACATACATTTAGCAAAAGAAGCAAACCAGCAACATGCAGGGCGAACGCTTAGTATGGATTTAATTTCTATGAGTAGTTTTATAAATAAAAAGCTCATTTTATTCGACTTTTAATTTAATATACCAGTACGTTTTGGAGCAGCCTGTTACAACCAAAAGCAAACATAACATTCCGTACTAAATGTCGTCCCTGCATATTAACGAGCAGACAAACGTCGACATAGGAGGCAATCTTGGCAGGGGTGTGGGGCTGTATATGTCGAACACCAAACGTGTCTCTGAGTAGGACGCTTCTGGTATCTTCGTAAGCGCGACTTAGAGTCACTGGAATTAAAGGAATGAATTCACATTTATGAAACAATGTCTATAGATCTGATAAAACAATACATGTTCATTACAGTAATTCGTGTCAGTATCCTTTGCGTTATTATTAACACATTCTAAATATTAAATATTAAACTTTAAAATTATACAAATATATACCAGTGGTATATATTCATTGAACCCTCATGGAAAACAAATGATATCAGAAACAAAGGGTTCCCCAAAGGTACCGAGGGAAAGCTAAGAGAAAGTATCCTTCACGTCAGTTAGATGTCCCCATGGTCATTGTGCCTTGAGTGTATCATTTCGGGAAAACATCGTCAATCCAAAACTAAGAAATGCTACTATACATTTTCTATCATCTGCACGGAACTTACGATATACTGCTGCCGGTTTCAGTGCCATCTTTTCGGCCTACATTTGGGAATAGGAGTAATATGGCATGGGACACCCTTCTTCGCCATCTTCTACTGACCTTGGTCCTATCTGAGCACCTCTCACCAAAACGCTCACCTGATTTACATAATTATGAAGAGGTCGCCTACTTTCCGTGCGAACGCCTCGGTTTTGAATTACAGTCCGTTTTATTGGAAGGCACAATAGTATCCTTCAAAATAAGTCATCTTGAAAAGAGGATTTAGGTTTGATAAAGCCATAATGACACACAGGGACATACAACAAAAAATAAATAAGTAAATGTAAAAACGCATTTTCTCAACATACATGACTGGGCATATAAATCACCTTTCATGGGTAGAATGAACGAACTGGGGAGGGATTGTGATAGAAAAGACAGGTATTTTCATTCAATCTTATGGTACAGGGTAACCATATGGTTATTGATATTTCTTTCTTTCTTTCTACCTCTTGAAACATAGATGGGCATTTTTAGAGGAAAACGTTTTCACACGTTTATTGAATTGTCTTGTATGTTACAACCATAGGTAATTTTCCATAAGTAAACTCTACAGGATTAATATTTTAACTATCTATGCACGGATAAAACACATATTGAAACTGGGCAAAATAATTTTAAGAAATGGTCTATAGTTGCATTATATCAAGTTTCTCTTGTTTTGAAAATTCTGAAAGAAAATGTTCGGCGCGTTGTTTTATTAAATCACTTTCAGTAACTGTTGGTTGCATATAACTAACTGAGCGAAATTCATAAAGAGAATCTACAACACGATGTGTAAGAAATCAACTCAAGTTATTACTCATTTCTTAGTATTAAGAAAACAATTAGCATCCAATTCCGTAATAAGCCTCACGGTGCGTCTCCGGGAGATTGTGTACTGATTGTGTACTGTATCATATGATAATTCACTCCATACGCGATGAGATTTTTTTTTTTTTTTTTTTTTTTTTTTTTTTTTTTTTTTTTTTTTTTTGCATCCAGTGCTCCGGCGGTTGGTACTCTGAGAATTACATGTCATGATCATAACGTTGACAAAGTTAAATGTAGAGTGTGTGTGTGTTTGACACAGATATACATTCATACCTGTATGAATCTGTTGTGCACCCAAAATTATTTCATTTTATGTGTAAATACGACGCATGTTTTATCTAAGTAAAACCAGTGTATAAAAAATAATTCATATGAAATACATCTTGTCTTTTTTCCTTTGGTATGTACTGCTTATAAGTGACTATTTATCAGAAGCCAATAGGGGCTATCTTCTGGTCTTCCAGATGGTGGTCAGAATTTTTCAAATTTACATTGATGGGCATCTAATTTTTTCTATCGGATCAAAAATTTTCAAGATTTTGTTGATGATCTTCTTACTTTGACTGTGACAACATTCCGTGTCTTTCTTACTAACGTGACAATAGATGTCGTGAGACTACGGTCGCCTCGAGTGGTTTAGATCATATCAAAATCTTGAAGCACGAGCATGCCCAGGCATTACTTCTGTGAAAGAAAACGTCTTTAAGGGAAAAAGTGCAGTAATATATAAGAGAATAATTAATAGCCCTAATAAAATGCTCCCCCCCCCCAACGCCCACCTATCAGATGTTTGGTCCAGCATCTTTTAGGACAAGCTACCCATCGGAACCAGCATCTTACAATTGGCATTTGACTACAAGGATTACTTTCTTTTCAATATATTTGCAAATTACCAGTAGTAAGTCCAAATGTGTTTTTATACATACTAACATGTAAATATATATTATATATATATAATTAAATGTATGGGAGCATGTGGGGGTGGGGGCAGTGGAGGTAGGGCTAACAAATATAATTTGGCAGACAGTCAGAAAATATCCCTGGATCCACACGTTTTGTTACCTGAAACTTATTTAATGAGAAATGTGACTTTCTTTACCACACACTATTCTCAACTAGAGGATCAGAGAGGCGATACCGCCTNTTTTCTCATGGACGCGCTCTTAATAATTCAATTATAAAAGAATATGTAAATAATTCACTGTCCAAATATTTTTAATAATTTTTTCAGCCCTGGCTGGACAATAAGCACACAGTGTTTGGCCGCGTGGTCAAGGGAATGGAGGTGGTCCAGAATATCAGCAATGTGAAGTGTAATCCAAAGACAGATAAACCACACGATGATGTGAGGATCATCAGTATCTCCTGTAAATAAACCCATGTTGTCTTGCTGGGCGTGGATGTCGGTTGAACTGCCGATCTACAGGCTGTGACTTTACAAGAGAATTTTGGACCAAAAGATGTTCTCCTAGTCATCACCCAAAGTACTTGTGGACTGTCAGCCATGATAAATCGGGGGCAATAGTAAAGTTCACTTTATCAAATATTGCACTTCTTTTACCGAATGAAATATTGCCCTAGTTTTGTACAAAAGAATGGAATTGTTTAATATGATTTAGACCAACAGTTAATATATTTTGTGGACTTTGAAAAGTGTATCTAGTCCAGAACTTTTTGGTCTTTTAAACTTTTGGGCTTTACTTCTTTTATGTGAAGTCAGCTCTCTAGGAGAGCTGGGAAGAAGTTGTAGTGCTGGAGTGGTTCAGTCACATTGTTTTTTGATTGGTTCAAGCGAGCAGTTTCAAGTATCATTTTAGTGCGATTTTAGATGAGCTGTCTTAGTCGCAGACAAAAGTTCATTTAACTCAGGGCTAAATGTAACATCCTCTGTCAGGATGATTTCTGTGGGGAGTATTATATACTGCTAGTGTGTGGAGTACATTTGTTGTGAACGAAGTTTTTCATCATCAGAACCAGTGGTTAGAATTCTTTATATTTATACTCCAAAATAAATAAATAGCTGTAAATATATTGTTTAACATTTGGTCAAGCCAAAAACTGTATATATAATAAAGATAGTGGCCAATGAAAAAACTGTATATTCTTGTATCTTCTTTTCTTGCACAAGGGTCAATCGGCAATATCTACAACGTCAGTGTAAACAACGGTGTAGTTTGGGTTGATATTTTCTACGGGTCTCACAAGAAACATGTATAACGTTATTTTTATTGTGGTGTGTTTGTTAATGACGGGGTTTTGTTTTGTAGTTTTAGTCGCATTAGATAAACTGTTTTTGTGTTGATTTGCTACGAATCACTGATAATAGATTAGACAACTTCATAGATATAGATTAAGCATTTAATGTGGTACTTTACTTTTAAAGTATCTTTAAACTACAATGTGGATTTCTGCAAAGGAGTTCCATTTGTTTTACGCATCAAAGTGATAATTGACAAGATAAATTTATACCTCAAATACATCAAAAGCACAAAACGTTTGTGCAAGTTTTTTTTCCATTATGAAAATGTTAAAGCAATGTGTTTAGGCGCGTATTCTACGAACTTCTTGAAATGTAAGTAACATCTTTCAAAGGATTAATTCCGCCCCTACCACATATGCTCCCACTGCTTTTTAAGTATCCTTAAGTACGTCACACCATTCGTCGTAGTGTGCGAATTTTAATTTATGTCGATGGTATAGGTTGAATCTGACTTCATGGGCGAAGTTCGCATGATTCCGTTATTGTGTCCGAAACCGCTATTAGATCCTAGTCCACTGCCCAAGTAGTCGGCTGTGCTGCTCTATCGACAGAGGCTTTCTCTCTAAGCCTAGTCGGAGTTTTGTTTTATTATCTGAAGTTTCCATATATCAGTACGGTGCCTGCATGTTTTTTTTTTCTTCTTTACAATACGGTTAAAATACTACTAGTACTTGGCCGATTTTTATAACTTCTGTATTCACTTTCCATCCATTCAATTCTAATAATGGCTTTATTTATTTCATCATTACAAATTTTACATTATGGTAGACTGGTGTAATATTTTAAGGTCGTTTTACGTGGTTTTTGGATTCAAAGAATTAACAGATCAAATATGACAGTTGGTCGTGAACAGAGATGATGCCCGTACTGTTTGTAGATAACATGTACTGTTGGTGTTTTTCTCATAAAACCATTACTTTATTGATATATATGCAAGTTCGAATTGCATTGATGTGCCCATTTCTGTGATGCTGAAGATTAAGCACGCACAGGTGTGTGCGCACAGGCGAGCACGCGCACACACGCACACACACTATTACAATCTGCTAAGCTACCGATTGCAGCAGAGAAGATTATTTTTGTCCCCCTCCAGATGGGGCTATTGAACGGTTTGGTTGGTCAAACCTGGCAAAAACTGCTCAGATTGTAGCATGCAGTAGACCATATAAGGATAGCCAGTGACCTACATAATGTCATTTTACTTTGGGGTGTGTAAGGGTCTGAAGTTTAATTTAATTAATTTAATCTAGAGTATTTTAAAATATGCAGGAAACAAAAGCTACCTGTGCATTGCTGTTTTAGTGCATTGTTAATCAAATTCTGTCTTTCAAATAATGGTAATTGATAAATAGAAAGGGCGGTTACCCAGCTCTTCCTGCCTCCTACCCCCATGGACCATTTGAAACCTGAACCCTTGGAAGAGATGTCACTTCTTCTTCAGTTCTGGGTGACCAGGGTGTGGATGCGAGGCGGTCAGGATACTAAGTATATGGATATTTCAGTTTTAACCGATTCAACGAAACGTTCTAAGACAATGGTTTTAGGTATTTGTCGAAAACTTATATTTGATGAATTTAAAAATGGGTTTGACGCCTGTATTTGTCAAACACTGGGTTTTACCATTCACCAGTATTTTCTCCTCGTGATATTTTGTGTCCTCCATGTCTCCTTTATTTCATCACGTACCTCAATAGTGAAAATTTCAGTTGTGCTTCACGTTAAATACACTGAATTTTTAATTACATCGGTTTTATTAGTAGTGGCAGTAAAGTTTTACTTTCGAAATAGTCAAGATGGGGAAATTCTGTTGAATGGTTTTTAAAATTTTGGCTGTTGAAATTTAGTAAGTGGTTTATAAGAAAACCAGGTATCATAATAACAGTACGGCAAAATAGTCACAATTGAAATTTAAAGAACCGGATAAAGGTTTAATGATATTCTTCCATTTCTAATTTTGGCATTTTTCAAAAATAATACCATAATATGATCCATTGAAGTATGTGACCTAGTTAATAATTCACTTCTTTCTGCATAACTGATTATGAAAGCAGCCATTTTCAAGGCATAGGGGGCGAATTGCTAGCGCCAATTTGCAAGTAATGCTTGAACATAATTTTGATATTTCTCATTTATGGCTTATGTCATTATTACGTTGTCTAATCAAAACGCTTTGTCCAAAACAATTTACCACGATTTTTTACCTCCAAATTTGAAAGCCTTTTGTAAAAAAAAAAATCGAAACGCAGCATATTTAACACTTCGTAGTCATTAATTTCAAAACTTGTTTTATTTCACCGAGGAATAAAACCGACCCTTATGCCTTAAAACATTTCTTACTGTAATTATAAGTCTGTGTTTACCTCCTTTGTAAAACTACTAGTATTTGCAGTATTCTTCAGCAAGGCAGCAAGTTGTGACTTGACGTTTATTTCAATGCAAATATAATGCTCAAAAATACAGAGAAACCTATTTTCCTAGTCCAGGAAAACTCGCAAATAAAGCTCGGTTTGACCTTTTTTCAAAAGACGACTAAGCTACCTTGAAAGCTCTGTTCACGTAATTTTGCACATTTGGTGATATATGTTACTTTTTCACATTTTTAAAGTGATTTGAATAAATCATACTGAAGCAGTCTTAAGTTATTGATCCTGCAAATAATACATAATGAGTTCAATCCACTTTTAAAATTGTTTAATGCTTAGTTGACAAAATTCTGTCAAAAGACTAAAATTTCTCATATTTTTTCTTAATTTTGCATTTACAGTATTTTCACTCGCTTCGAACTCCTGGCATTAAATTAGACCTTAAATAAAGCCAAAAAATCTGGAAATTTCGGCAATTTTTTCTTTAGGTTTATCCAAAAACTTTTTCGAAAACTACGATCTGAAAAGCTTGGGGTTCCAATTTTCTATAATTTTATCGCCATGTGTGAAATTCACAAGTCTTTATCTCCATAGCAAGGGTGACTCAAAAACTAGTTACTTAAAGCTCGTATTTTAATAATCTTTTGAAACTTGAAAACTTGCTGTCTTGTTGAATGAAAAGTGCCATTTTTTTAAGGACCACAATCGATCGTTTTGTTTGAGTAATGGAGTGTATAAAGTTCACACATTAAAGGCTCAATTTGCAAACAGATTAGGCTAATCTTAGTCTACCTGTTAAACTGTGCATAAAAATGGATATATGTAACGATTTTTGTTTGTTCGTTTATCTGGATTGTAATCTTAATATTATCGATTTCTCTAAAGTTAAGTATAAGCAATATTTTTTGTAATTATTTGTCAATTATGACTTGCATTTGTGGCATTACTTTGTTGAACAGATTGAACTTTTGCATAAAAATGAAGGGAACAGTCATGTGATCCAAAGTTCTCCATTTTCAAAACTCTGCTGCTTTTTAACAATCTCAGTAGCACCTTCAGTATATCGAGCAGCAGACGCAGAAATGATGTTTATGTTCTCTTATGAGAGCATTGTTTATGTTCAGAAATTTACAAACCATTTGTTACAAATTTTTGAACTTAAAAATACAAATGCAAGTGATATGATTTTCCCCTCCATTTCTACAATGTTTTTTATTTTCAATAATTAGTGTCTCTAGGGGATTTTTCTTCACATTCCCCATTGAAGTGCATCTTTTGTATTGTAGTGCATTTGAAAGTGCCGATTGCTGTTAAATGTTGAAATTTATTTCACAAATAGCTCGTGACAATTTTTTGCACAACATAGTAAAATGTGTTTCACCTTCAAAGCAATATCGTGAAAATATTTCACAGCACCTTATGGTGAAATGAAACAAAATCAATGGCAGATTGAAGGGGTGTCACATTTTGAAATTCATGGCAGTTTGAAGTATTTTTGTGACTTTTCAAATTATATGTTATCAGAGTGAGTCTCTTTCATTTTTTTCGATTTTTTGGTGTGGGGTGATACAGTTTCTAGATCTGCCGTTGTTTTTGTTAAATATGAAATTTTAAAAATCTGATGGTCATTTTTATCTGCAATAATTTGTTTAATATTATAGCAGCATCGAGCATTAGTCAAGTAGTTCGTTAGATAGTTTATTTATTAAATCAAACTTGAGCGTGTCTTAATGCAGATATCAATATTTCCGATTTACATATCTAAATATTCAAAACTTATTGTGATTAATTTTTTTTTTGTAAAATCTTTAACAAGTGGATGTTTGAAAATATGAGAATATTTTATTTAAATCCGAATAAAATACTTTACAGTTATATGCAAAATGGCTTAGCGTTTTCATTGGCTCGGCGGAACTCTAGGGCTGGGGATTCTATTCGGATACTAGGAACACATTAAATTCTTTACCAGAAGGGGGCTTTTAAAAATTTCCCTTGCTTACTATAAAAGGAAAGTCTACCAGGGGTGGGTGGGCGGGAACACTTAGGAGAGTGGATAGCACGCGCGACTCGGACCCAGCAAGACTTGGGTTCGAAACCTGGCGCTTCTAGGTCCCAGCAAATTACCTTTTACAAAAAAAATCCAAACGAGTAATTTAAACTGCGACAAAAGGGTCCTACGATCAATGAAAAGCAAGTCGAGTCGGTGGCTCAGTAGGTAAGACGGCAGGACAGTAGACAAGAGAAAGAGGGTTCGAGATGAGCTAAGAATGCTGAAATCTATTGAAAGAAGTGAAGCATTTTGTAGTTTTATTTTTGTCAAAATGAATCATTTACAGCTTAAACTTTTTTTACAAAAATAATGAAACTAACATTTTGTGCTCTAAATTAAAATTTAACAAAAACAATTAAAATATATAATATTCTGTGCTCTAAATTAATATAAACTAAAATTTAACAAACAGAAAAAAGGCAGTATATATCTCTAAATAAAACAAGTCGAAGATTTTATGCATTTTGAACATTGTTACTAAAAGACGAAATTTTTGTATTTATTAGAAAAAAAGTTCAAGAACATAACATTTGAAAGATTTTGGCAAGAACTGATAATAGACAAATAGATTTCAAATTGGCCTTGGTAACTTTTTGTCAAAGTTGACATTAGTGCCTTGTCTTCATCAAAATTCCATCAAAAACATTTCCGTCCAAATTTAGAAGTTGTAACAATTTTTAAAATGCATATAAACTTCTGTAAGCGTCATTTATGCACCAACTCTCACGAGCATGTAAACATACCTTGTCCTATGTCGACTTGTTGATGTTTGCACACCAGATCGAACAATAGCCAAAATTCTTCATGTTTGTAAGATTCCTGGTTGTTTTGTCAATCGATTTTTAATATTTTTTTTTTCACTAAATCCGAAAATAAATATCATATATGGCGTAAATGTGGATGAAAATTTACATTTGCAAAGCATAGGAATCATGAGCGACATAAAGACATGTCCGGTTTACAAGATTATTCAAATCTTAGCCAAATTCAGAATAATATACAAAGCAAACTGATGAAGTTGCACAAAAATCAGTGTACTTGAAGTGACTTTTTACATTCACTTTAACTCTAGTTATCGGTGTTCAGTGACGACACTAACATCAAATAACACAACATGGGGATGCTGGACTGATATCTAACCAAGCCTGTCTTTCTCAATCACCCTTGCTCCCGAAAAAATTTAAATGTGAAAGAGTACAGAACAACTTTAATTAAAACGCCCCTCTGACCATTTTAGGCAGATTTTACAAAAATTCAAAAATTCAAACCAAACAAAGTATTTAGGTTTACATACACTTTGGTTGAATATAGAAATTACCGTTTAGAGGAACAAAATACTTTGAAATAACATTTTAGATCTTAAAAAATCTTAAGTAACCGACCAAACTGTAAGAATGGACTGTAATGTAACAGATGAAATAATAAACCCTATAATCCAATTTTTTTAAATCTACAGAATTTGTTTAAGAATTATTTATTGTTCACTATATTTTTGAGCATTGACGAAAGTTGGCGGTCAAATACTTCATTGAATTCTTTCAAAATACTCATTACCTCCCGAAAATTGGCCTTTGCGACAGCTCAATCGATTTTGAAAATATGGAATGCAAAAGGCTATGATTAATGTCAGTCCTACAGAAACATTTTAATGGACAAACGATATCTTAATGAAGTGATTTCTTTGTATTTCTTTGTAATACAAATCCTAAACGGCATATAAATGATTCCAATCCTGGGAAATTTTCGTTGATAGCCAACTATAGGGACAGTTTTCTTATCGTTTACGCAACAAAGCTCGCCATTTTACTACTTCAATATGGAATTAATTTTAATTTCGGATGGAAATTTTTACCCCACCCCATGGTTTAACTTTGTGTCAGAAAACAGACATTTTAATCCAAGCCCAGCACTGAAAACACCGAGAACCAGAATAAGTAAATTCGCAATCACAGTGCCATATTCATAATTGTTAAAAGATCGTTATTGTATATGTGGACAATTCTGCAGTAACGTGGACACATTTTGTCCGTTTCATATTGTTGGGATTTGTTGACGTTATACGTTTTGTTAACAGTGTCTTGTGTCGATTTACATATCTTCCTCTTTTTCGACTGAACACAAGATGAATGTAATTAAAAGTTTTTCTATGTGCAATTTACATAACGGGGTTGCAATGTCTTTCCCTCCCAGAAGTCAACATCATTTAGAATTAATAAGAGTACATCTTTAAGTTCACAGCGAGGTGTCAAGTTGCAGATTTGCCCACACACATTTTCTGTTAAAATAAAAACATTTCTCTTCTTAGAAATTAATATATGATAAATTTAAAACAATCACTCTTCATTTTTATACAGACATCATTTTTGTTAAATGAGAACTTCAAATGTAACGTTTCAGGTTAAAAACAGGCGGGTATCAACCCCGACACAAAAGTATATTTAAAAATTGCTCTCATAACACCATGATTAGATAGAGAACTGTACTAAGACATAGTAACATACATTTACCAAAAGAAGCAAACCAGCAACATGCAGGGCGAACGCTTAGTATGGATTTAATTTCATGAGTAGTTTTATAAATAAAAAGCTCATTTTATTCGACTTTTAATTTAATATACCAGTACATTTTGGAGCAGACTGTTACAACCAAAAGCAAACAACATTCCGTACTAAATGTCGTCCCTGCATACTAACGAGCAGACAAACGTCGACATAGGAGGCAATCTTGGCAGGGGTGTGGGGCTGTATATGTCGAACACCAAACGTGTCTCTGAGTAGGACGCTTCTGGTATCTTCGTAAGCGCGACTTAGAGTCACTGGAATTAAAGGAATGAATTCACATTTATGAAACAATGTCTATAGATCTGATAAAACAATACATGCTCATTACAGTAATTCGTGTCAGTATCCTTTGCGCATTCTAAATATTAAATATTAAACTTTAAAATTATACAAATATATACCAGTGAACCCTCATGGAAAACAAATGGTATCAGAAACAAAGGGTTCCCCAAAGGTACCGAGGGAAAGCTAAGAGAAAGTATCCTTCACGTCAGTTAGATGTTTCCATGGTCATTGTGCCTAGAGTGTACCATTTCGGGAAAACATCGTCAATCCAAAACTAAGAAATGCTACTATACATTTTCTATCATCTGCACGGAACTTACGATATACTGCTGCCGGTTTCAGTGCCATCTTTTCGGCCTACATTTGGGAATAGGAGTAATATGGCATGGGACACCCTTCTTCGCCATCTTCTACTGACCTTGGTCCTATCTGAGCACCTCTCACCAAAACGTTCACCTGATTACATAATTATGAAGAGATCACCTACTTTCCGTGCGAACGCCTCGGTTTTGAATTATAGTCCGTTTTATTGGAAGGCACAATAAGTCTTCATATTAAAAAGAGGATTAAGGTTTGATGAAGCCATAATGACACACAGGCACACACAACAAAAATAAATAAGTAAATGTAAAAACGCATTTTCTCAACATACATGACTGGGTATATAAATCACCTTTCATGGGTAGAATGAATGAACTGGGGAGGAATTGTGATAGAAAAGACAGGAATTTTCATTCAATCTTATGGTACAGGGTAACCATATGGTTACTGATATTTCTTTCTTTCTTTCTTTTTTTCTACCTCTTGAAACATGGATGGGCATTTTTAGAGGAAAACGTTTTCACACGTTTATTGAATTGTCTTGTATGTTACAACCATAGGTAATTTTCCATAAGTAAACTCTACAGGATTAATATTTTAACTATCTATGCACGGATAAAACACATATTTAAACTGGGCAAAATAATTTTAAGAAATGGTCTATAGTTGCATTATATCAAGTTTCTCTTGTTTTGAAAATTCTGAAAGAAAATGTTCGGCGCGTTGTTTTATTAAATCACTTTCAGTAACTGTTGGTTGCATATAACTAAATGAGCGAAATTCATAAAGAGAATCTACAACATGTTGTGTAAGTTATTACTCATTTTTTAGTATTAAGGAAACAATTAGCGTCCAATTCCCTTATAAGCCTCACGGTGTGTCTCCGGGAGATTGTGTACTTTAAGTATGCAGTCACGCGGTATCATTTGATATTTCATTCCACACGCGATGAGATTTTCTTTTTTTATTTTATTATTATTATTATTATTATTATTATTATTATTATTATTATTGCATCCAGTGCTGCGGCGGTTGGGACTCTGAGAATTACATGTCATGATCATAACGTTGACAAAGTTAAATGTAGTGTGTATGTGTGTTTGACACAGGTATACATTCATACCTGTATAAATCTGTTGTGCATCCAAAATTATTTCATTTTATGTGTAAATAAGAGGCATGTTTTTTCTAAGTAAAACCAGTGTATAAAAAATAATTCATATGAAATACATCTTGTCTTTTTTCCTTTGGTATGTACTGCTTATAAGTGACTATTTATCAGAAGCCAATGGGGGCTATCTTCTGGTCTTCCAGATGGTGGTCAGAATTTTTCAAATTTACATTGATGGGCATCTAATTTTTTCTATCAGATCAAAAATTTTCAAGATTTTGTTAATGATCTTCTTACTTTGACTGTGACAACATTCCGTGTCTTTCTTCCTAACGTGACAATAGATGTCGTGAGACTACGGTCGCCTTGAGTGGTTTAGATCATATCAAAATCTTGAAGCACGAGCATGCCCAGGCATTACTTCTGTGAAAGAAAACATCTTTAAGGGAAAAAGAGCAGTAATATATAAGAGAATAATTAAAAGCCCTAATAAAATGCTACCCCCCCCCCCCCCAACGCCCACCCATCAGATGTTTGGTCCAGCATCTTTTAGGACAAGTTACCCATCGGAACCAGCAACTTACATTTGGCATTTGACTACAAGGATAACTTTCTTTTCAATATATTTGCAAATTACCAGTAGTAAGTCCAAATGTGTTTTTATACATACTAACATGTAAATACATGCATATATATATATAATTAAAATGTATGGGAGCATGTGGGGGTGGGGGCAGTGGAGGTTGGGCTAACAAGTATAATTTGGCAGACAGTCAGAAAATATCCCTGGATCCACCCCTGTTTTGTTACCTGAAACTTATTTAATTAGAAATGTGACTTTCTTTGCCACACACTATTCTCAATAACTTATTATCCAGTCCCAAAGAAAAAAAAAACAATTGATTCAAATGCATAATTTAATCACAGAAAAAGAAAAAAGTTACAATAATAGTTCCATGATATGATGAAAAAAGTTACAATAAATGTTCCATGATATCATGAAAAGCTGACATTTGTGTTTTTAAACACTTTCCTCTGTAAAGCTACAAAGTAATTAAATGCTAAAAATGATGAAGTCCAACTCCTTTGTCTCCACAATAAGGCATCAACACAAATATGTGTTTGGAACTGATCAATTCTCTTTGGCTATAACCAGTACAGCTTCAATGCAGTCTAAAAATATTTGCTACATCATAATTATCATGTAAAAGACATGCAAAGGGCAAAGGTTCCTAGAGAACAGAATATTCAATTTCAAGTCACAAGTTGGTCCCATCTTGGTATTTACTCATCGGGTATATTGGCTGCGCCACCTGTTGCTTTTGACATATCCTGTCCTTGCGATTTCAGGTAATCATTGTATTTCTTTTGCTGAGCCTCATATAATTTTGTTAGTTTCTTTAAGGCTGATTTTGTGAGTTCTTTTCCTTCTGCATCATGAGTTGGTAAACCCTGAAAAAATGTCATTGACAAATTAATGGCTGCTATGAAAAATGTCAGTTATGATTGATCATGTGTAAATTTGATAGTTTTGCTTTTAGCCATCTGCTACAATACGTTGTTTGATTGTATGATGACGAGACAATGTTTTGTGATACTAAGAATGTCAAGATGGTTCAAAGCTGTTTTAAGCCTGTGAGTACGAGGTCTGTACTTTTTCACTTTCTAGTATTCAACACAAGGGTGGACAGGGGCAGTCTGGGTCTTCCAGAAGACGGTCAGAATTTTCAAGTTTACATTGATGGACATCTTTTTCTTTTCTGTCGAAAGACAGTCAAAAATGGAGGAAGGATTGACAAAGATAATTTGGAAGACTGTCAGAAAATACATGTACCTCTGGATGTGCCCCTGCAACAAACAGAAGTTATGCACATTAATTTTACACTCTTTAATGCTACTAACCTTATCATCAAACCTGGAATATTTGCTCGTTTCATTGAGAAACATCTGAGAGGGTGGTAAGCGTTTCTGAGCCTCCTTCTGGGCATCCTGTACCATCTTTGCTGCCTTTTTGGCTTCCTTCTCTTGTCTTTTCATCTCTTCCAACTGTATAATGTTAATAACAGATATATATGAATCTAAAAGGGCAGTTTTCAAAGACAGGAGATACAGGAGACACTCATTAAAGACAGACCAATGTCAAAAGGAATGTGGATTTCACCAACTGTGTGTGTGTGTGTGTGTGGGTGGGTGGGTGGGTGAGAGAGAGAGAGAGAATATTAATCTCATCTAGCAATGTATCCATGACTGTCTATCACCTCCATGAAACTTGGACACTTTGGGACCAGAAGCTATGTTCTCATCAGCAATATTAATAAGTGTGTGTGTGAGAGAGAGAGAGAGAGAAAGAAAGAAAGGGAAAGAGACAGAGGACACAGTACACAGCAAATGGTAGCTCATTTTATAGATGACCATTAAAGCAATAATAACTCTTCCTTTGAGATTCAAAATTCTGCAAGAAATACATTGTAAACAACGCCTGGAAATATATTCTATTGCATTTTCCCACTAAAACGACTGTTATTGTAGTAAAACTAAAATCTGTGCTTGTCACTTGGGCTTTCGATCCCTTTTTTCGCGGTCGACAAGTGCATCTGTCGCCTATGACGTTTAGGTGTCACGCGGATTCTCACGTCCATTCGAGACCAAAATAACATGGCGGGAAACCCTCAGACGTAAGTTGCGAGTTTTTGTACAGAATTGCCCAGAATTGCACACATTGTAGATATAAATGCATTTTGAGCAAAAAGACGAACATATCTTATGAATCTTATAATATTGTTATATAGTGTTGTTGTTGTCTGCTTTTCCCGCGGTTTTAAGTAGGTCACCAGAAACTATCGCTCGATACGAGAGGGCTCCGTCAGTTAAAATCTCTTAAGAGATTTTAACAAAAAACCGTACGTTTAGGAGAAAAACCCTAGATTAACTTTGAATGCAGGAATGGGGTCGTTGACCATTGGTAAGTACGGGAAAATTGCCTTTTTTTTCCAGGAAAATCGTATTTTTGGCCAAAACGAAGAGTTATTATGACTTTAAAGTTTGCTCAGTTTAGTTTTAATAACACAGAAATGCTTACCCTCAGTTTATCTTCTCTTTCTTTTATTAAAGTATCTTTGTCAACTAGCTTGATTACAGGAGGTTGACCTGAAGACAGAGAAAAAGTGGAAGAAATGAATTTAAAAGTAATTATACATAATATTTATGACATTGGTGAATGTGAAACAGTTTTTTTGTGTGATGATAATGAAAAGTAAATCAATTTTAAAGAGTATAAGCTGTAGATTGATCATACTCTATGAGGTCACTCTTAATGCAATCATTTTAACAGTTAAACATGCCTCCTCTTGTTTCCAATATACTAGTATAACCAGCAGTATTTCTGTATTCTACTCAATGCCAGGTGGAGGAGTGTTTATTAAACTGATAATATGCAGAGAAAATGCCTGCAGATTTAGATTGATCTATGTAGACTGATTGTTTTCAATGGGAATGAGCCCTAATGTGTTTTTACTACCAATGAGGCATGATGTTTTGACCATTCCTCAAAGGGCCTTGATCCTATACCTGACAAGGTTAAAATGCCATGCGTCATAGGTGTTGTTAAGTCTCTTTCAAGAAAAGTTGATTTTTTTTTTATTTGTACCATCACATCAAATTTCCATCTAAACAATTATGCTACGAAAAGTATTCTTTATAATCCGAAAACATCAAATTTCCATATTATATTTGCCACCTTATACTGACTCAAATGGATAGTCTTGAATCAGAATTACATATGGTGATTATGGCACGATGGATTTTGTGGTGACGGATCAATTTTTTTCGCCTGATTCATGCACAATGCGATCAAATTTATTTTTATCTACTGACTCATTCCCAATGCCACAAGTACAAACTAAAATGATAACTACAATCTGATTATACCTTCGTGGTCTTCAAGTCTCACTCCTAGATTTGGAAGATCATCATCTCGCACCTGGTCGCAAAACTTCAAAATATCTGTTACTGTAAAAAAATAATATTTTGTTACTTGAGCATAACATATTCCATACACAAGGCAAAATATATTTTACAAAATATAGCTATATCTCATACTGAAAACAATGAAAATATGAGCCTCAAATTCCTTACACACACTGAAAATTTTCTTTTTTAAATCTAGATAACAAAAGTCATGTTTGAACTTGAATTAGTCATACCTTTTTGTTCCCTAGCAACCTTTCTGACCAATTCTCTAAAGTTGGCAAAGCAAGCTAAATATGGCATAACTGTGTCTTCAATCTGTTTAAAAAAAGACAATTGATAATTTTCAGTTCTTCTGCATATCCTATGATTCATTTTAGTACTGGAAACAAAATATTATTATTTAAATAAAATAAAGACTCCAAACTCTAAATATATACTCTTAAGCATATATATATATATATATCACTGCTCCTAAATCTGACTGAAAATAATTAAATAAGATCAAGCATAAAGATAAACATATTTGAATACATTACCCATTTTTTCATAACACACATCATATATTAATGTAGCTTTGTAATACAACTTTCTCCTGTTAGAGAATGCCTCATATGGGCTGGACTTAACACAACCTAACTTACACAACACACTTACATTGGCAGTTTGTCCAGAACCTTGTGGAAAACCTATGGTTTCTTCTCCATCAATAGCACCAAAAACCTGAATTGAGATTAGCACCAATGAGTAAATCCAAACATATTCAGTTATTATAGAAATACACTACGTAACATTTATAATATGACTGAAATCGATTGACAATAATAATATTCTATTTATTAAGTAATTTCCATTATACAAATGATGATTGGTTGAGATGACAATATAACAAATGCAGACCCAAGAATACATTTCTTCTTGGGGCTAAATTTGACATATTGTCCCTCTACACCAAAATAAAACCACCATTTCTTGTAATAACAATAACTTCTCTGTGTTTGTTTTCTTATAGCATGTACTTGACAGATTAGGTGACAGTGATAAATAAGAGGGAGGAGACACATATGATATGAACTTCAAATTGTGCATACAATTAATTTTTTCAAAAATGTATGTTTGCCTTTTAACAAAATATATGTTCTTTTCATCAGAGGGCATGACACATGCACACAAGCACACACACACACACACAGTATGGATGGCTATCACAATGATAAAATTGCCAACGTACCCTCATCATCCTTGTGACATACTTGGCTATGTTGAGGAGCAGAAGTCTATTCGGTGTGACTTTGGCGCTCCTCCTGACACTGATGTACGAGTTAGAGGCTGTGACTAGGTCGCGTATATTCTCCATAGCACTGCGTGTGTCTATGGAATCTAGAGAAAGAATTGAGCAATGAACACAATCCAAATGTGCCATTATTATTTTGTCAAGCCATTATGTTCTTGTTACATAATTTCAAATCAAATGTAATAGTAACCACAAAAGGTGTCATTATCTTTAATGCATTGGAGCAATATTATACAAACTCGAAATTAATGCAGATATCCTTACCACAGAGAGCTTCATGAACACCTGTTCTCTTTTCCAAAAATCTGAAAAAATTAATAATCAAATTCACGTTAATATAATCTTAAGTCCGAATGAAGGTTGTAATTAAATTTTGTATAACTGTCTATAATGTAATTCTTGACATTCAGTAATGTAAATATATGACCCAATTATTTATTCTGGAGTCCATATTTCAAACTTTCACATGCATAACTATTTCTAGTATAATTTTACTTTTTTTAGTCTTAGAGCTATCACTTTCAAACACTACAGCAAGGTACTTTCTGACACAAGGATAGACTAAATTTTTCACAAAGTATGAATTTAAAAGATTAGCATGGTATAATATATGTTCTAACTTTAAAAAACAAGGTGACAGTATCTGGAAAAATTGAAGATTAACAATGTACATCATTTGTGTCAGTTGCTGTCTTACAGCATTGCTACCAAAACACTTCTTTTGTGAAAATCTTTAATCCATGTTCTTGACTGAGTAATCACCAATTCAGTAACAACTCTATTACTTACTTTGTATTCAGTTGGCACTCTTCTGTATGCCATTTGTCAAATGAATCTGGACCAGACGAAGGAGTGTTCCTCAGAATATCCTTCACTGTCAGAAAAAATTCCTGGCAAAAAAAAAAAATCATAAAGGTATAACAATGGGGATGAATCTTATGACACATATTCTGAATATTTGATGTTTAAACAAAAGTCTTACTTAGTGAATTAATACATTAATTCAATACAGTTCATCATCAACACAAAATATCTTGGAGCCTGGATTTGAAACATCATTACATTGAAGATAAATTTTCTGCCAAACAGATCTATGGAAATTCTCTACATTTTCATACAGCCTTAACTCGCAACATAACAATATTGGTAATTTATATATATCACAAGTTAGCTAATTAAAAGTACTACTGAAATACATTCCATAAACCTTAACCAAAGTCACATACACAAATACTCATAAAAAGCTATAAATAATCAACATACGTTCAGATGTTTTTCATACTGCATGGCAATCTCCATAGTGTTATCACTATAATCCAGCGTGTCCTTCCAGGAATGGAGAAGAAAAGCAAGTCGCAGCTGTCTTGATGAGTTCTTCTGGAGAGCCTCTTTTATTGTGATGAAATTCTTCAGAGACTTCGACATCTTACATCCTGCTATGGTCAAGTGACCAGAGTGAAGGAAATATCTGACCCAGTTGTCATTACCATAATATGCCTGGTAATATGAAAAAAATTGATAACATTACACAACTGTTGTTCTTTCTTTCCTATAAATTACTATGAACTGTATGTGATAGCTAATTATAATTTTTCAACATTGCTGCCATTACCTCTATTTATTGCCATAACAATATGAAATTGTTATACGTAAAAAAAAGTGTTTTCATGATTGAAAGTGTAAAACTTAGTCTTCTATTAAAAACCCATCTAAATGCACTTCAAAATAAATGTAAACAAGGTTTTAAAAAAAGATTTAAAAAAATGGTCAGGGGTGCATTAATTTAATGGAAATTCTCTCATCCAATATTGAGTCTAAGACAGCCAGGTCTTACTGCACAGGGTTAACTCACCTCTGATTGTGCCAGTTCATTGTCATGGTGTGGAAACTTGAGATCAAAGCCACCTGTGTGAATGTCCATTGACTCGCCCATGATACAACTAGCCATGGCGGAACACTCAATGTGCCAACCTGGGCGACCCTGAGTACAGTTATAAACATAAAAAAATCATGTAAGAAATGCCCCCTTGATTGTTAAAACAAACTAGTAACCCCAATGCTTTATAAATCTTACAGCAAAAGTGTAATTAAATCTGAAAGTAAAATGGAAAACTGAATGTATATGATTATTAAGTAGTGTGAATGTAACCTGCAAATGCAGTTTGTCCTTAAAAGTTCATGTTTGCTAGTATACAGTGCTGTAAAACAAATATTTAGTTATGACAGTTCTTTTCCATGAAATCATGTCAAATACAACAACAAAATCACACGAGAGAGAGAGAGAGAGAGAGAGAGAGAGAGAGAGAGAGTGAGAGAGAGAGAGAGAGAGAGGGCTTTTGAGTACCTTTCCCCAAGGTGAATCCCAGCTAGGTTCCCCTGGTTTGGATGCCTTCCACAAGGCAAAGTCATTGGGGCCCCTCTTCTCGTCCAGTCTGTCCTGGGAAATACTCAGGTCACCTTGGAGTAAAGAATGTAAAGTCATTAACTATGAGTCACCCCGAGTTCCAGAAAACTAACCTTTTTGCTCAGCATGGCTTTGGCATTTTTAATGAGTCACAAGATATTAGTCTCCAGTAAACTGTTAAAACCACTAGTTTGTGTAGTACAACAGTAAAAATATAGCAAGTTTTCAAGTACTTTATCCATTCCATAGCAGTCAATACTGCAACTCTGTTATAAGAAACTGTACTTTCAGTGGAACACTGTCAAGGGCTATAAAATGTTTAATTAAAGGGATAACAGCTTTTTTAAGAGATTCAAAATTTCACAATAAAGACACTGTAAACAACACAAAGAAATATAATAAATTCCATTTTACCACCAAAACAGCGATTATCTTAATTATTCTGAAATCTCTGCTTGCAATTGGACCACGGGAACCTTCACTGATGACTACCCACTGTAATTTTCTCTTAACAGATTTTTTACAAAAAAAAAAAAAAAACGTTTCAAAAACTATCAATTAACTTTCAATGTCAGAGCAGATTAATTTACCGTTGTTAAATATGGAAATGGCACTCTTCCCACCAAAATGAGTTATTATCCCTTTAAGCACTTAAAAAACCACACAGTCCTTCCTACTAATTCATCAAATTTGCAAAATAGGGTAATAGCTAAAACTAAAAGAGGCCCTGTGATCAATGACACAGTAAATGAAATTGTGATATTTTGAGCCTATATGTCAGTGCCTGCAAGTATGTTGTAGCAGTACATATGAGTAATACAGCATGACACAAATGATGTACAATGTTAATCATCAAATTTTCCAGATGCTGTGACCTTGTCTTTAAAAGTTAAAACATATATACCAAGTCAAAAGTGAATTAAAGAAACATAAGTGCATAGGAGGGCAATGGCATATATAAATACATGTACATTGTGAGAAACCATCTGAATATGGCCTACCTTCCCCCTCCTGCAAGGCTTTAGCATCTCCATAGGCCTCAGGAACCAGTTTGGCATAGTAGTGACCTTCTGCTTTGCTGAACTTTGATGTGTCAAAATATACAGATCCATTGGACTCATAACTATAAAACAGATTTTTTATTTTATATACATTGTATATCAACTAGACTTTTGACTAAAATATTCTTTTCAAAGAAATTAACTTTAAGAAATCATATGATGTTTTAATTGCAAAGACAATCCTTCCATAATTGAAACAAAAACAGTACTATCTGGGTAATCACCATGCACATGTAGAAACATATCTAAATCCATATTGTCTATAATTTTACCCAAAGTTAGCAATATCAGGTACACAAATTCACTGACTCTCATCAGTTTTTTCTTATATACTGTACCACATTAATCACTTAAATTATACAAATGAAACTTACGCAAATCCATTATCTATAACTTTCTGCACAAAGTCAGCTATTTCTGGCACATATTCACTGACTCTTGTCAGCACATCTGGAGGCTCTACCTGCAAATAAGCACAATTATCCATTAGTTATAAATTAAATTACTGTAGTTTAAAAAAAAGGTAAATAAACTGGAAAGTCCATAACAGCACATACACAAAATCATTTCAGCAGCTTCTACCCTGCATTATAAATCATTTTGAAATTTGCAAAAGCAAAAGCTCAAAAATGGTACAAAAATAAATGCAAAAATAATGTATATGTTCATATTTTTCACTTTTTACTCATAGATTTATCATTAAATTTCATTAGTAGTTTTGACCATTATGCTTGCACCTTAGGGCAACTGCTCAAAGTATGTAACTTATCATTCTGTTACAGAAAAGTGACATACTTCTCAAGTGGGATCAGATAAAAACAGCCCAGTTTAAAAATAAAAGAACTGATCAAAAAAAAAAAAAACGAAAAGAAGACAGTTAGACCACATTTCTTACCAAATTAAGAAGCAGCAATGGAATCTACAGAAATTGCTTGTAAATTATTTAAAGAGAACCATACCTAATAATACCAAGATGCTAAGTGGTGAATTGACCAAACAGGCATTGTGGATTTAAAGAAAATATTAAATTGAGGAAAGTGTCTATTGGAAAATGCCTGCCAAAATGCAAGCACACTATATCGTACTATGTACATAACGGGAACAATAGTTTTTAAAAGATGATGCATCCTTAATTTTTCTAAAGATATATGGATGCCATCCCAAGTTCTTCATAACCTGCATATATATCTTGGTCTTGAGATAAGATTTTAGATGTTACATAATCATTATTTATTATAATCTAATAAAATTTTATGGCCTCAAAGCTGATGTACCCAAGCATACACAACTGAATTTGTCCTAACTTCTCTGTAAAATAATTAAGTAACAAAAGAAACCAATATAAATAAATATAATACTAAAAGTATCAGTACATGTACAGTGCATGTGAGTTTTTTAAATTAGATGAAATTAATTTGCATTTGTACACATTTAATTTAACACAGTGGGGGCAATTTATCTATACAGGTTTCCATATAAACATGAGTTGAAAAAAAATAACTTTCAAAGCAGTTTTCAACGAAAACACGCACCTTAAACCTTCCAGGACTTATGGCAGAGGTGGGAAAAATTGCAGTCCTATTAATAGCCAGACTTGACCTGCTTACATTAAGACACTTTATTCTCACTATAGTGGGTCTCAGTTAAGTTCCTGGTCGCAATCTATGTGCTCACAGGAAGTGTGACAAGAGTAAGGAATGAGTATGAACCATGCGCGCCATGAACTAAATCTCAAATCCTCTCATCAGATCAAGTAACATACACAGTTATACACAGGTGAGTGAGTGTATGGTACAAGTAAATGTAAATATAACAGAGTACCAGAGGTGACATAATTTTAAATCACTGCATCAAGGTATTATTTGCGTGTTACACAATGTATGTTCAGTAAAATCCTGACTGACCTAAATACCCTATTCTTCTTGCATATACTGGGAACTCGTGCGAAGACATCCTTTATCTGACCTACATGCACGCCAAAGTTTTGGCCTTATTGTCAGAACTTACATGTAACAAGCACAGGTAGCTTATTTGTTGTCTGGATGTTCAAATTGTAACCTGAACTGAAAAGAGACCACCATATATATAGATGACTCATGAAAATGCCTGTATGTAGGTGGAAAAATCAAGACAACTAAGCTAGTATAGGGTTAGTGAACCAGAAAAGTAAAGAATACCGGCTGGTGCACACAGGTAATATAGATCAGGTAAATTAGATGTACAAGTGTACCATGTGCCCTTTAATAAGTTTTACCACATTTGTACGTTTTTTAAGATAGCACAGTATAATGCTGTTGGTTATGTCTAGTTAATAACATCATGCTTACATGTATTCAATTGTTCTTGTTGTGGTGACAAAAAATACTTTTAATTGAAGTTGGGGTGTCATGGAGTGCTAGTAAGACTGCTGATATGACTGATTCATTTTCAAAACATTCCACTTGATTCATTAGCTTCCATATGGTATTTTATTTGATATTGTTGGCACATACATTTGCCTTTGTTCTGTGTTTAAATTGTTCACTTTGTTATACACCTACAACTTTTACTTTCAGTTTCTGGTTCATGAATGAGGGAATTACTTTTGAATTTTTGACAAAGCAAATTTGTCAATTTAAATATTTTTTCAAAAGATTTTTAAATTGACAGCATGGAAGCAATATCTGTCCTTGTGCGGACGCAGAAAGAGCTTTTAGGGTACCCTCCCACCTTAACACTGAAACCTTTTTCCTCACATTCCTAAAATGTGATTTGTGAATTACTGAATTTCTCTGCAATATTCCTCTACAGGTCTTGACAAGTTTTGGACCATAACAAAACCCATAACAAAATCCTTCTTCTTATCCTACCAAATACTATAATATAATTATATGTTTAACTATTTAACTATTACTTATTATTATTATTCAATTATTACTATTATTATTAGGCTTAGGTACCCTGCAAATTGGGGAAAATATTAAACTTCTGTATTTTCTTTACCCAAGGTTCAAAAGCTAGTAGTATCCTCATGCACATCCTGCCTGACTCATGATTAATATAATGAAATATATGCTATGTATATTCCATATTGCAGCAAAAGACCTTCTTCCGGACTGAGCTGTTCCTTTACTCTGGTATCACAACAGAAATAGGAAACAGTTGTAGTTGGCATTACTGTAAGCATCCTGAGTCGTGATTAATATTATGACATTCAGTTAAAATATATGCTACTGTTTATTCTATATTGCAGCAGAGGACCTTCAATTAGACAGTTGAACCTTTACTCTGGCATCACAACAAAACTAGGAAATAATTGTAGTGGGCATTACTGTAAGCATCCTCATGGACATCCTGCTCGAGTCGTGATTAATATTATGAAATTCAGTTAGAAAGCTACTGTTTATTTTATATTGCAGCAGAAAACCTTCATCAAGACAGCTGAACTTCTACACTGTCATCACAATAGCACTCTAGGAAATAATCGTAGTTGCCACGATGGACACAAATGGGACTGTCACTGTAAATGTGACGTACACGGTAGAATCTAACTCTACCACCAACCCACCAACCCTGGCACCCCAGTTAAACAATACTACAGTATACCAGACCCCAGTACAAAACCAACTGCCAACAGGTGAGTACAGGTATGATAATTACTCAATCTTTTCAACGGGGAAAAATTGTGAATTTTACAGATACTGTGATTTTTAAATCTTAATTTTTTATATACAGAACATTCTTACTGAGTTGCATCAAGGAGTTCCGACATTTAGAACTCCTTGGTTGTAGCAACAAAATTAAAGAGCAGGCTACTCAACTATTGTTGTATTCTGTGCAGTAAAGCACCACAAATTCTATATAGAAATATAATTTTTTGTGATTATAAAATTTAGTATTTGAAAGTTTGCTAATTTTTGCCCTTTGAAAGGATCGAGTAATTATCGTAATATATAGAAATACAGTGCATAATTCACATGTCAAATACCAACTTATTTCAAAAGCCTATTTTTCATCATTTGTCATTTTGACATACTTCAAAAATATATGATGTAAACCTACAACTGAATATTGAGTCCTAGTGTAAACAGTAGAACCCAGCTCTCTTTACAAAACCTAAATTGTTTCCCATGCGAAATAAAACTTATTACAAAGATTTATTTAACATAGTGAGTGGTTTTCACAGTACAGTAACTCCAGAGACAAGACCACCTGTATGACTAAACTAGGCAGTTTCATTTTGTTTCTCATATCCTCTCCAATATGGGAACAGAAGGGTGCAATGTCTACCACATTGACCTGAACACTAGACTTCCTAAATACTTCGCCAGACTATAATCAGAGGTTATTCCTTTTGTTTACCTCAACAAACACCCATCTGTAAGCCTACTAGTACCCATAAAAATGCACCACACTTCCCGTGAATAAAAGCTGTATCAACAAAAGTCTGTGGATTTAGACCCTGTTGTTGAATCAAATGAATCACTGGTATTCTACTGATACAATAATAAATAATCTTTGTGCATAAATAATCTGGTTAAAAAACTTATTTAATATAAGACAATCAATAATACAAATTTCTTAAGCATGGACATAAGGAATATTTTACCCTTTGCTATTTCTATTACACAGTACATGCTCATACATTTCAGTTTTTTCAGAGGCAAATTAAGCAAAGACCCAATACAATGTCAACTCTTTAAAACATAGTTCCTGTTGTAGATATTGTGATAAGTTCATTTTTGCAATAAAAAATTCGCTCTATCACATTATGGGCTATAAAAGCATTGTGACAAAATTTCTCCACCTAACCACAGTTTCCAATGGCTTATGCATTCTCCTTCTTTTATTAAACCTGTTATTACAAATAAAGGACTTAATAATTTATACTAAATAAATGAATTTATCTTTTTCTTTCAGAAATTATTATTGCAATAGCTGTAGGAGCTGGTGTGTTTTTTATCCTGGTGATAGCACTACTTGTAATTATCATTTGTCTTCGCAAGAAGAGAACAAAGTAAGTAAACCACAACTGTATAGAGAAATTAGTTCAAATAAACTTTGGCCAAAAAATATAAAGCAGTTTTTAAAAGACACCTTAAACATAAAGAAAAGAAAACCTGTTGTGAAGGCACGGATTCAAATAAACGGTTTAACCATAAGATCTATTAAATAAACTCACCACAATATTCCTGGCTCAAAAGAAAATGTACTGGTATATCCCACAGTTTAATGTTCACCATTTGTTTTCATCAGAAATTTATCACACATTTAATATACATTACTGGAATTGTACACATACACAAACAACAAGTACTTTGCCAATATAGACATGACATACTCTGATGTGCTAGTAGCATTAAATAAAATAATAAACACTACTAGGTTTTTAACCTAGGCTGAGATAAAAGAGGAATAAACACAATATTAACAAATATCATAGAATTTTTCTGATCTGTAAGTCCTGATTATCTATGAGAAATGACAAGCAACATATGTAAGAACCAATTTACTATTTCAAAAATTTACTTAACAGTTACCTGTTAGAACACCATAAATTTGTTTAGACAATCTTTATTTATTTGCTCAATCAACTGTTGTGGCAATGTCTTGACCTTTAACCTCAGATGGCATAAAATGATGGAAGACCACTGGTAGAGCATTGACATTTTTGAGTTAGAACCCCGGTAGATGAAAAATAAAATAAAAGCTCTGTGAACCTGAAAAATTTGTTATAGTTAACAATATTAAGATCCTGCAAAGTATATCAATACCTCTTAAATGTATCAACTCTTCTCCATTCAGATCAGACAATGTGACTGCGGATAGTGCAGCGACTTCCACAGCATATAATCTACTGGCACAGAGGGAGGTCCCAGAAAAAAATGAAGAAAATGCTGCCCAAACCAAGGACCATAGCAAAGGAAATGCATATGAGCATAAAGAAAAATCTGACCAAAGTAAAAAGATTCCACTCAAACCTATTAAAACGAAAGAGAAGCCACAAAAACCTGCACGTCACTCCCGTACTTCTGGAAGCACAAGTAGCAGCAACGGTCAATCCCTACCACAAGATGAGGCAAAAGAAGAAGAACAGAGTGATTATGTAAACGTGATAAGGGACAAAAAGTCGGGTGCTGTGAGACCAAAGACACACCCAAGATCCAAGCTAACAAGTAATTCTTCAGATCCAAACACTCCTTCCGCTGGATGGCGCGATTCATCAGGTCATTATGAAGTGCCTAAGAATCCAGTGCCGATAAATGAGCCCCCTGCTGAGTATTTGAGTCTCCTGCCCAATGATGACACCTATGTCAATGCAGATGTTACTACGGACACGACCCATGACCTGTATACATATGCAGATCATCAGACCCCATCTCCTCACTTAACAAAAAGACAGGAATCACAAGATGTCTACGAAAATGCTTAGCGATGGTAGATGTTATTTGTTTTGTCTTTCTTTAAGGTATGGCTTAAGCGTAAGCTAAGAGGAATATGGGTAGTACTATGTACTAGCGCATTTTTCTCCATGAACAAGATCTTGCTTGTGCTTTCAATGCTTTTTTTATTGATGCAAAATGTGAATATCAACCTTATTTGTCTTTCATTCAAACCACTGCATCCAAACAGCTTTTGAAAGTTTTGCTTTTGAATGATAGTCTGTCTGTTCCATTATGTGCTACCAAGTGATCTTTTTTGGTCACAGTGATACTTCAAACAATGCATACGTCAGGCATGTTAGGGCTGTCACAAGACTCAATTATTTTGTAACAAATACTACCAACCAACCATGACCAAAAATTCATACAAGCAAAGTAAACACAAATACAAAGAATGTAAACATGTCCATAATATAAAACAAATGGGATTTTCCTTATCCAAAAATTGTTTCATTTATAAGCTTTAATAGATTTTATAGATGGTAGAATAAAAGTTGTTTATTAATCAAAATATCTTTTGTTTTGTTTAAAAGTATTTCACTACTAGTGACTTAATAAACTTTCATTTTTTGAAAGTTTTTTTCACTTGGTACATGTACATCATGTTGTTTGTTTTTTTTTCTATTAATATCATCTTCTATAAATTTTCTGTTTTCAGTTTATCCATCTAGAATAACTTTCATAATTTTAATGTAATAACTCTTGACCAAAATAAACTTACATTCAAGGCATCCATGTCATTAAAGTACTCAGCTTCAAAATGTTTTGGTAGTGTGGCAAATATTGCATTATCTGTGACTTCTGACCCATGCAGACCATCCAACCAATCAGAGAGGATGTCTTGAGCGTCTGCCAATAAGGTCTGAATAAAAACAGGAAGAGAATAAACATTTATACCCTGATGACATGACTGACATCTTTGGTTTCTGTTTATATAACCATGTACATACTAAATCATGTCAACCGTTATTCAATGCCACACCACACTCATTTGTCCATCACAATCTTGTGCAACTTTACTCTAAATCGCAAGCTCAAGACTTACATTAAGGGCTAATGAGGTCAAGATGACTTTTCAGTTCAAAATCTTTTGGAAACTATGCCCAGTGGAATGCATGCTGGTTATTACCATTCTGGCTGTATCCAGATGAGACAGGGTGTTTTCAGCATCACACTGCTTCCTTGCCTCATCTACATGTGTAAGTGCTGCAGAGATTTTGGCATCCATACGCTCATACATGGCTTTTTTGTCTGGGTCAGTTTCTTTATTCAGCTTCTCCTTGAAAGGCTGCAAAAATCAATAATAATAATTAGAATTAGAAAATACACTTCACTATCCAAATAAAACCTATGATGATGGAAAGTAAATTGTTTCTAAAGACACAAAACATGGTTTTCTTCCTGATCCATGATATTTTAACAGTTAAAGGGCCTTGATCACATGCCTGAATTTTAGACATGAGCTCTACTTTTTATCATCATCACACAATAGACAATGAAACATTCACTATAAAACAGGGAATATGTGACAATTAATACTTCATCAGCTGTATATTAACCAAACAGTGTCCATAATCTGGTAATTGTCAGCGGGTGAATTCCTTCTTAAGGAGACATTTATTTCATAGTATTACACATTCAGTTTTGTGTGTTGTTTTGACCAAATATAAAAAAAAAAGTTCAAATCTCCAACTATGTTTTTCAAAATATATATTGGCCTATTGCCACCACGTTGTATGTATGAGTGGGGCCAGCATCACAAAAAGCACAACACATGGGACAATTGCTACATCAACTCATTTCTTAACAAAATCTAGCAGATCAATTCTTATCTGCTGGAGGCGAGACTACTGAAAAGTCCAGAAGCACATGTCACTACACAGAAAAACTCAAAACTTTTTAAAACAGGATAGGTTTTTTTTGTCGGTCAAAAACAGTTAATTCAAAATGGTGGTTTTTCAACTTGTTGCTGCTTCCTTGGCCCTACCAAACACATGTATTACATGTATTTATTGGTCATGACAAGTAGGGTCGACAGTTTCAGCATGTCTCTTACATACTAGTACACGTATGTTAAAATTATGTCCAAGGAGAAAACTATATTATTAGTACCTTCATAGCTTCCTCCAAGTCAACTAGGACTTTGTCCAAGGGATGATGTGCAGCCAGGTACTGCTCCATAAGGTGATTCTGACGAGCTCTCTTGATGATCTATTTAATATGTAAAAGACTGGATTATATACACTGATATATACATATACATGTTATATACACTGATATATACACTGATATATACTGTGTAATATATGCATATCAGACTGTACATATATCCTAAATGGATTACAAACAGGGACATGAATGAATGGATATATAACATCCAACTTGCAAACTATAACCGAAGGAGATTTTATATGATTGTACAATGTAAAGACTGTCAGGCAAAGAACTGACAACTATTTAAAACTGATTATTTCAAGTGAGATGACACATGCCTTAAAACAGTAACTGTACCTATTCGGTAATGTGCAAATTCTTTAAAAAAAGTGATAAAATATTAAATTTTATCTTCCTTGCCTTATCATCAATATCTGTGATATTCATGCAGTAAAAGACATCATAATTGAAATAGTCCTTGATAACTCTCCTCATGATGTCAAATGAAATATAGGACCTAGGAGAGAAAAAACATTGCCAAATTTCGATTTATTGCATGAAGTCAATGTAAGACTGACACCAACATTATTAATCCAAGATAAAAAAAGAAATCAGTTTTATAAATGCAGATGTATTCAAGACGACATGATTTATTTCATCATTTGAATAACAAATAAATGCAGACTGCTCCTTCCAATTCAACATTTCACTTGTAATAAGAAAGAAATTCACTTTTGCAATGATTTATAAAATGCTGTTGCAAATAAGGAAAGATATAACAATATTCTGCCAAAGAATGTTAAAGGGATAATAACTCTTCGTATGAGACCTATATTTCACAGTAAAAACCTTGTGAATAACTCATAGAAATATGTTTTACCACAAAAACAGCAGTTATAGCTTTTATTCTGATATTTGAACTTGTCTTTAGACCACGTGACCTCCATTGATGTCTATACTCTGTTAAAATCTCTTAAGAGATTTTAACAAAAAACCAAACTTTTTAGAAAAAAACCAGGGACTAACTTTGAATGTAAAAATGGATATATTAACCATTGGTAAGTATGGGAAAATTGTTGTTTACTCCAGGAAAATTCATTTTTTTGCCGAAACGAAGAGTTATTATTGCTTTAATAAAATGGGAAAACGGTGTTTTAAGCTATGTGTATCTTTAATCAAGGTTTTTAAATCTTTAACTGAACTAACATTATAGTTTGAATAAATTGTATGTCCAGTAACAGATTTTAAAAACTTGAGATGTGTAAAATATGTCTGGAAAAATGATCTACATGATAAATTGCATAGCTTGTTGCATCCAAAACTTTATTAGTTTGCAATTTCAGATTTAAATTGATATTTTACCTTGCGTGCCCCATATGTGAGGCATCATACACGGTGGGACCACAGCTGTACCATGTGACCTGGCTGCCATTCTGAGGCACAAATAATTCCTGCGATATAAATTGGAATCAACTGAAATATCTTTAAATTTATGGTCTTAAAATAAACCAAGAAACAATTTAACACACATAAATATTTCACTTAAGATTGTTATTCATGATCACTCCAATACTAGACTTTTTGTGCCTCAGTAAAGTTCTTATCTAAAGCTTTTAATTTCTATTTTAACAGGTGGGCTACACTTTGATAACTCAAAGTAAAAATAAACACCATAACACCATGATAAATATAACAAGGGATTCTTTCTACCTACCTTTTGCCTGGTTAGACTGTTATATAACTTCAGCTGAGCAACTCCAGTCGCAGCTGGAGGACTCCACTTTGGCTGGACTCTTTTTGTTTTTCCTAAAAGCAAAATCAATCCATTATACAATGAGCTGTATCAGCCATATATATTGTTCTTTATCTTAGCTAAATTGGCAAAACATTTCAACTTCCAATCTGTGCCAAAAACTTTTTTGGATTCCATATACTAGCCCTTTGGGCCCTCAAGGTCTAACAGTAAGCTACAGGTAGTGAGATGTAAAATTTCAAGTTTTTTTTTTTTACTAGTCCATTGTCTCTTTACACTGTCAATTGCCTCTGGCTAATGCCTAATGAACAGAGTGAACTTAAACCTGTTTCCCAACAACAGTGATAATAACAACCAGGGGAAATTAAACAGATTAAAGTCTGTCAATTGTAACTTTTATCAAAAGATGAACTAGTACAGGTTTTGGGGAGCCTAAAATGGAAAACTGCTTGCTGCATAAGGCTTTATCAATATGATGGCATTTCAAACCAATTTCTAATCAACAACCTACTCAATAAGCCATTATCAACTGGATACTTTATTCATATGCTGAATGATTTATTTGGATGAATGAACAAACAGAAAAATGTTTTGGACAGAAAACTTTGTCACCATCGCCGAAAAATTTCACTGGTTGACTGGAGATGACCTGTATCAAACAGGTGTTATTTTTCAGTGCCTGATGCTCCGTCTTTGAAATGTGTTTGAGTATAAGGCATGACCAGTATCATATTCCCAGTGCTTAAAGCATGTATTCTTTTCTGACTCCCTCTATAGGCTTAAGTTGACAAAGAACTTTGAAACAGTATCACTTTTTTTTTTTTTATGTGCTTGACACTGCAGCAGTAGTTCTCACTTTAGTTGGGTGTGGGATATGGAAAGTGAAATGTGACAATGCAGATGTAAATTGCAATCTTCATTCTTAACCGATCACCACTGATCTGTCTGATCTGATCTGCACACACCTCACAAATACTGCTATGGGCCTTTAAATTATGTCCTAAATATAGTCGCATAATTCAGTATCAAATTGTCAGTTAACTAAACGCGGCGAACAACATATATCTATTATTTCGCACGAGCTTCAAATCTTGCTCGAGCGATGTGCATATGTACACTGCTAACATAACAATTCTGGAATGATCGGACTCATTAAGTGCTTTATTAAATTAAATCAACCTTTACACGAAATAATGTGTTAGAAAAACCTTGCAATAGAGTTTAGTTCAATTTTAAACAGGAAATATTTCATATAAACATACCTTGACTGTCTGCCATGCTGTCACACTGACGAAACCGGAAATAAAAATGCGACCGTGAACCGGAAGATGAGAAATCTCGTTCTGGATTTCCCGCATGGTGGAAGGTTCACGATGAGTGTACCGGCTTTTATCGATATTGCCGAGGCTGACCAGGTATTGTGACTCGGAATGTCAACATTTATATTGCAGAAAACGTCATTTATATGTACACTTTATGACAGGCCGCATGGCCACCGTGTTTCTTGTCTGATTTACCTCAAATATCTTCAGAAGTAGAGAAGTCTGTGTACATGTATTGTAACGTGTGTGACAGTGTGGCACGGCGTTTTCAGCCCATTTAATAGCTTAAATTAATATGCTCAAAGGTCTTAAAATCTTGGTCTTTGTCATGTGTGTATCAATACATGTTTGTTTAAATTTTAAAGGGTTTGTTTATAGGTAAGTGTATTATTGATACCTGTAGCCTGGGTGGAATTTATCTGTAAATGCTGTCCAGTTATGGGCAAGATAGGGGGGGGGGGGTGTCTGCTCTAGCAGCTGGGCCAGTGAAATAAAAAGAACACAAACAAGAGTCTTACCAACAAGTAAAGTTCATGCACTGTGTTACTTTATAATAGTACAAATGTAAAGTTTTATTGGAAGATATTGATACTACTAAATGGTTTGTTATGCACATAACTCCCTCAATTCATGCCTTATTTATATTTCAGACAACTGAGCTTAGACAGTATTTGAAGTCATTTGGAGCTGAAATTTCTGAAGAAAATTCTGATGGTGGTTTGTTGAATGATCTGCGCCAAATTATAGAAGCATGTGAAGTGTGCTTAAAAGAGGCAAATAATGAAGCAGGTAATAAGCTAATGGCATGCCAAGATTACTATGATTTAGCTGTCATGATTTAAGTTTCAAGTATTCTTTTCAAAATTTCAATTTTGATACTACATTGTCACTATTTTTGGTAAACTTGGTAACCTTAACACCTCAAATCCTGATAACACAGGTTGTTTTTAATTGCAGCCTTTGGTTCTTGTTGCTTTTAATTGACCTGCATTTTAAAATGTTAAATGATAAGTCTTCTGTTATTACGTATTTTGATTAACAGTCATAGAATTGTCTTGTTTGTATCATAACAGAGAGTATTGATGATAAAATGTGTTAAATTGTCATATAACGTCAGTGATCTCATTTTGTTAGAATATAACTTAACTATCATTATTTATATTTCAGAGTTGGAGAGTGTCCTAAACAGTATCATGTCACTGATCTTATTAATCCCAGTAGACAAATCGGAAGGACTTGTTCTGGCACTTTGTGAAAAATTGGTCAAATATCCAGCTGGGGACAAACATGCAGGAGCAAGGATACGAGTGTGAGTGTCAGTCTGTGTGCATAAAAACATTTAACAAACATATAATAAGTATTTGGCCAGATAAGATGGCATTTGTTTGTGAAAATCCCAAAAGAGATTTATCTGATTTTACTTTATCTGATTGACCATGAAATCAATTTTCTATTCTGTGTAAATAGATTCCATAATCTTCTGTAATCTTGTTTTTTGCATCAAAGTTTTTTTTTGTGTGCAAAACCCTCAAAATTGATTATCCAGACTTAGATTTTAGACTGAATAAATTTGAAACTGTCTTTAAATACAAACTCGATATTTTGCCAGAATCTAATGCATTTTTAAACTCACACCAGACTCCCTATTATGCCATTATCAATTTTAAAAAAAATCCTCAATTTCTATTCAGACTGTCCAATTTATTCCATGGTCTTGGTGAGAGGTCTAACTACAGGTATCATGTATATACCAGCATGATCAAACTAGCCACTGCCTGTGATCTGCTGAGTGCTATACCTACTGATTTGGACCAGGTAAGTGTACACATGTATTCATGATAGAGCGAAGAGGTTGGCAGAACTCAAGGAATGGAGATTACTTTTTAGTTAGCTCATATTAAAATATGAGTGCATTGGTAATATAACCTAAGGTTATTTATATTTAGTGTTTATTTAGCTGCTGTACATGTTCCATGCATTGACTGGTGCTCTGTTAATTCAAAAAAGTTGTGATTATGTAAAAAGAAAGTCACAGTCCTTGCAGTAGTTTTATCATAAACTGTGCCAATTTGCAAATATTTCGTTTTGCAGTTTACATATATTGCTTTTTATTTTTTACATATTTGTTTGTTAGATCAAAGAATGGGTGGCCCAATGGGACATTCCCACACAGAAAGTCCAGAACATTCTCAGACTCCTCTATGAGGCATTTGTAGCAGCAAAACAGAGGTAATGTAATGTTAACTTGTCAGTTTTATTCAATCGGTTCTTTTAAACTGCATGATAATGAGTGATCTGTCCATGTGTGGTCCATTATGAATTGAAAAATGGTCCCATATTTTTATGTCACATAAGACTTGTATTTTGTCATGCACATCAACTTCTCAGTGTTGTTGTAAATATACTAAAATGTTAAATGCTATATTGTATGATCTCTTGACAGCCTTATTTTTGCCTTTGTCCTTGTGAGCAAACATCTCAGTGCTTGAGATTACAGTTAGTTTTGTATCCTAACCAAACAGTAAAAAGACTACCTACTTATACTGTTAATAGGATGTTATGATTGTGTATTACAACTTGTAATATAAAATGAATTTGTTCTTACTTTTATTTTTCTAGTGAACAAGCCACAAAGACTATGATAGAACTGCTGGGGACATATACAAAAGAAAATGCATCTCAGGCCAGGGATGATGCTCAGAAGTAAGCAATTTTTTCAGATTTTAAGAATTCTGTCATAATTTTATGCTAGCAGTTATAACACTTACAAAATTTAATGGTTACAAATCAGGCATTTCAGCAGGGATGTATTTGACTTTCCTAGCTTTTATATATCAAATATTTGAAAGTTTGTTTTTGGAAAGCTATCAGTAAAATGTACAGAATAAACTACTTTACAATATAAACACTTGGCACTGTTGTATTGATATGGAACTAAAAGAAAAGAAAAGTATTTAATGAATTTTCATAATTTTAGGTGCATAGTAACCTGTCTAGCAGACCCTGGTACATATTTGTTGGATCATTTTTTGACACTCAAGCCAGTTAAATTCCTGGAAGGGGAACCTATTCACAATGTAGGTTTTGATATTGTGTAGTCCACTTGAAAATGCAAATGTTTGGGTCCTTTTTTTAAGTGTCAATTTCAGTGGGCTACTATTATTTATCCTGGATCAAACTGATCCACCATCTTTGGTCTTGAAGTTAACACCATCTTTGAAATAGAGTTATTTCATCAGACAAATCCCATAAATAACCTAGGCCAGAAAAAAAAATTCAATGGGGCCTTTGACTTCATCATTTTGGTTGTCTGGGTATGTGATTTGGCAGGCTTATCTCGTGTGAATGTGTTAAAATGGGTCTTTTTGTATGATCTTATATATTGTGAAATAGATATGTCGATATTTGCAAAATGCACAATGCAATTAGTTGACATCTTTCAAAGAACAAGTGTGCACTTCACAAACATTACAGATAAAAATAATCTTTCATTGGACATGAAATCATGATTTTAATAATTAATTTAAAATAAAAAGAGATAATGTAGTTACTGATCATGGACTGTATTACACTATTATTTTAACTCCATTTTGTATTATTTCAGCTTTTGACCATATTTGTATCAGGCAAACTATCACATTACCTCGACTTCTACCAGAAACACAAGGATTTTGTGAATTCACTTGGTAGGTAAATTGTGCAACAGAACTTTTCTGTCCATTAAACTTTTCTTCATGATTAATTCCCATTTGAGTAAGGAAAAGTCAAAGGGCCATGTATAATTTTTTGAGTAAGTTAATGCAATGTGTTTTAAGCATAAATGGAATTTTCACAGGCGTTGGTAAAGTAATACATAGCTAAATGTCCCTATGAATAAATAGTGTTAAGAACATGGATATTGTGCATGTATTTCTGCCTTTGAACATTTTCACTTCAATAATTCTCTCTCTCTGTTTTTGCGATGAAACTGACCCAGATTTTCAATTCCACCAGGTTTATCACATGAAGAAAATCTACTCAAGATGAGAATTCTGACATTCATGCAGATGGCAGAGGGAAAGAAAGAGATTGATCTTGATACTATCCAGCAAGAGATGCAGATTGGGGAGGAGGAGGTTGAACCTTTCATTATAGATGGTAAGTCTGCTAGAGGAGATATACTTTTGAAATTATTGTGAAAAAGGTTTTTTGTTGTTTGAAGATAATATACAGGGGCGAGTTTTTTCGACATTTGTCGGTTTTCTGACTTTTTGGTAGCTAAAAATACCATTGACCTGGGTGGCCCCCTGGAGCCCAGGGTATATTTTCTGACTTTTCACTAAATGGCTCATCCCTGAAAATGAAAGCTTTTCTCAAATTAGAGATGAAATTACAATTTCCTTGGTGTCACATTCAGGCCTGAAATCACCATTCCTGTGATCGTCCATTGATGGCAGATTGAAATGTAGTGCATGGCTCATTATTTAGCCTATAAAAATATACATATTTTTAAATGCTCTTTCTGAAAACTAAGGGGTACTGATATGAGCTGAACCTACAATTTTGTTTTAATGACACTGCCATATAGGTCTCCTTTGCTGCATTTAAAATGTGGGAAACATTAGGACAAGACGTTCAAGAAGTTCAGTTTTGAGGGGGAAAACGATTTTGAAATGTTGAGAATGACAAAAATTTGTTCATTCTAAGTAATGCTAGTTAAGCCTAGTGGTTTATACACCAAATTTTTTTTGATCCCGTTTTACATTATCAAGTGCCTCCCATCTTACTTACAGACTGTCCTCAATTACATTCTAGATTTAATGATAATCAGTGTCGTGAAAAATACAGTGTGTATGTAATTTTTGGTAGTAGAAGCACCATTAATACAAAGACACATTTAAATGAATGTTGCAGATATTTGATAATTAATGAAACTTTTTTGCATTCATCAGTTGTACGAACTAAGGCTGTCCGCGTCAAGATTGACCAAATCCAAAGAAAAGTTTTGATCAGCACAACAACCCATCGTACATTTGGCAAACAGCAATGGCAACAGCTGAGAGAAGAGCTTGAGTACTGGCAGAGCAGCATCAGCCGTGTTCGAAACAGTTTGCATTCACTGAGCACATTAGCTTCACAGCAGGCCCAGCAGCCATCTCAACAGGCTTAGGGAAATTTCTTTGGCGTGTTCATAGTACATGAAAGAATATTGGGTAGAGAGTATCTATTTATTGTTGAAAGGGTTAGAAAAATGAGTCATTTGTCATATCTTGGGAAGAACAGCTTGCCTCTTATGTGCTTCCTTGAGACAGTTGTACGATGAGAATTGATTGGATTTTTACTATAAACTATATGTAATACAGTTGCTACAGACTACATACTTGTGTAGCCAGGCAGGTAAATATTACCATGGATTCAGGATATGAAATTGAAAGAAAGAACATTGTCATATTTATCAAACCATGCAAGGAACTTAAATGATTTTGGTAAATAAATAAGATTACACATATGATTTAAATTAGTTGGTTTTATTTGAAACCACACCATAAATACAACTTTTTATTGAAAAAATATTAAAAGGTTATTTTAAAATGGTCTATCTTTTTATTTATGTCCAAATTTGCCGAGGCCAAAGGAATTAAGAAACCAGCCGAAAACACTACATGCCCCATTCTGATCTGTATTCAAAATGATAAGGTAGCAGATTGAGCTCTGCATATCACGTGAATGTTTGGTTGCAATTGATTATCACAGGATATGTTCATAAGTAGATAAAAACCATACAGGTACAACATGATAATTGATACACTTTAATTTTTCATATCACATAAGGTTGCCTTTGAAAAGTTTTAACAACCCTTGGATAGTTTTGTATGTTTGTTAAAAATTATGTAAAGGTTGTTAACTTTTCCTGTATCCCAGTGTGACCCTGACACAAATTTTAAAGCCTTTTTTTTTCTTTATCATTAAGTATCAACTTTACTCAAATAATCATTAAAAACACTTCATAAGTTTTTTTTTACCATCTGAATGTAAGACAACTTAATTTGGCTGCTATAGCAGTGCCAAAAAGGCTGCTGAAAATATATAAATCTCTGTCAGTACATACATATCTTAAGTATATTAAAACAATGTCCGATCAATAGCTTACTGTAACGATGGGTAAGGTTTTTTAAACCAATTTGCATAAGTATTGAAGTTTTTGAGCTTGGCAAAGACTGACAAACTTTAACAGTCAACAACACTGAGTTGGATAATTTATCAAATAAGGCTGCTGAAAAGTTGGCTAAGATTCAAAGCAGGTTTTCTGAAGATGGTTTCTATTTTTAATGTTAAAACATTCTGAAACGGGACTCTGCTACTGTCTGTAAATAGGCAGACTGGCTGCTGTGGCTATCCCACACGTGTTGCCTACATTTCTGGCTATCAAGATATAACCGTCCATTCCCCATGTTGTTCCTGCTGATAAGCAAATTGATATTATATAGTACAATACACATTTAGAAACAGTTAACTGTCAAAGGAAATGTTCTTATTCAACAACATTGTGAGACAAACATGAAAAGTATTTAAAAATTGCAATATTTAATCAATACAATATGAAAATTTACATCCACTAGAGATAAATTAACCAAATGCATTTTTAACCCTTTTCAGAACAGAGGTGTCACTTATTTAACACAATTAACTGTGCAAGATATTTACACATAATATATGCTATTAGGACATTTTCGAACATGGCACCAAATTGATATAAAGTTATTATATACAGTCCAATATTTTTTTTTAATTAAATGCCTCTCACCCCAGCTATTCTTACAGATCCAGTAATCCTTTCCAGACATACTACCGTACCCCACCAACAGGAGAGCATGGTCCAATTGTTTATCACTGCATCTTTGCTCTACAAACACCCCACTCTTGTACAACTGGAATGAACTATGGCTAGCATCAACCAACACCACCACAGGATTTTGGAGAACAGCAAGTTGAAGGTCTGTCTCATTGCCTCGCATAACAGATCGGGATCCTTTGATCTGAACAGAAAATAAAATCATGTTTGTGAAGATGTTCTATTACAACAATTTTACGTTTCTTGCAATACCGCGCAGTTAATTTTCTTTTAATTTTGTGTCAAGAAATAGAACATGATGTACCCATTGCTTTACCTGTTTGCGTGTATCAAGTGTTTACAGATACAAGTTGAATAATTATCTCTATTTTGACATTTCAATTCAATGAACAGGTAACAGAAGATAGTATGTATTATGACCAATGGGGTCTTATTCATGTGTAACTTAACATTCACAAATTTAGAACTCACCACATGCTTCTTACAGATAACACTTTTATTAATGATGTCACTCTTTAGGTGGTAATTTGGTCAAGACGCAACCAATTAGATATAACATTATGTTAGAGGAATATGCCTTGTATCACTTGTATGAAAAAAATCTCCATGAATATCAACATTTCCTCATGTTGCTTTAGGTTTCTCACCTGTGCAGCAGGGTGGCAAGAAGAGCTGTGACATACTCCACTAGAAGCATTATAAGGATAGTACGTCTGCCTCTGAGCATAGTCCACCCAGCTTCTTAATGCAAGCAAAGGGATTCCCCATTGGGTGTCCTCTTGTGCAACAGTCAGAAGTCTCTTGGACACTCAGGGCAACCGCATGGCCAGTATTGATTTTGAAGTAACCATATAAGCTGTCTGAAAAAAAATACATGAATGGAATAGCTTTGAAGAACATCACATAATGTAATAAATTACAGCATGTGGATATATTCTTTTTGATGCATTAGTATTCCTTCAGATATCATATTTTCAATAATTTAAAATGACAAAATTCACTTCATTTTCCATATCAAAATTTTAACTAAATCAATCTTGAAGTAAAAACTTATCTTTTTCATTTTAAAATAAAACTATTATTATTATTATTATTTTAACATGGTTTTATCAAATTTTACAATAAAACTATCACCTATAACTGCATATGCAGTAGCATCCCTGCCTTGATTTGTAACTGGTGGAACTGCTCCCCTTTTTCTCCAGTCAAAGGAAGCAGGAGCACCTTGTAGTTTTTGATACATGTATTTCACTTCTTCTGTCTTTTGTCGTTTAACCACAGCTGTTTCACTCACCATTTCCTACAGAATTTTACAGCATGGTATGTTCTGTAATATCCTTTTATATACACTGTTTATATGCACAAATTAAAGTTCATCTAGACAAAAACTTTCAAATTAATGACACAAAATGAAAATATCACCGAGTAACTCAGCAAGTGCAATGTGGAAACATTCCATTGTAATGTATCTGAAGAGACTGTCAATATTTTTTTTTACAACAGAGTGCTAGGCATGTTTCCACATGTTCATAAAACCAGGAAGTGTCATTTGGTGTCAGGATGTTTTTTTTTCTTAAAGTCCTTGAAGACTTAAAAAGTATACATAGATCAATACATCTGCTTATTTGTGATAAGTGGTTGTCAAATATCAATTTCATTGACTCACCTTCAGTGCTCTGTCAGCAAATTCATTAATTTCCACAGTGAACGAAGAATACTTTGAGTTGTGGTCCAGCACAAAGGCTAAATTCCTGGCCCAAGTATATCTTCTAAATTCTTCCTCAGCAGCACTTTCATATTTTTTGTGATGCTGTTTCTTCCATATTTGCCAGTGAGTTTCATTTATATTCAAACTGGCTGAGGCCAAAGGTATTAGGAAACAAGCTAAAAACACAACATGCTCCATTCTGATCTGTGTTCAAAATGATTAGATATTATGTGTCTGAATGTTTGGGTGCAAGTTATTATCATAGGTGTGTTCATTGGTCCATAATTAGATTAAAACCATATAGGTGCACAGGGGCAGATTCAGGATTATTTGAAGGGGGGTCCGCCAAGCTGACCCAACCCCCCCCTCCCCCCCGGCGTGGGGTTCGCAGCCTGGTGAAGGGCCCTGAAAAATTTTGGTATTTTAGAGGGTGAAGGGTGAAATTTGGTATGGTTTAGATCTATGGTTCAGCTAGTCAAAATTCTAATTTCAAGAGGGGACCATTGATGTGATTTTTTTCAGTAATCGAAGGGGGGTCAGGACCCCCCTGACCCCCCCCCCCCCTAAATCTGCCACTGGGTACAACATGATAATTGATACACTTTAATTATTGATATTACATAAGATTGCCTTTGAAAAGTTTTAACAACCCTTGGATAGTTTTGCATGTTTGTTGAAAAATTATTTAACTTTTCCATAATCCCAGTGTGACCCTGACACAAATTTTAAAGCCATTTTATTATTTTTTCTTTATTATTATGTACCAACTAAACTAAAATAATCATAAAAAACTTTTTGAACAGTTTTTACCATCAGAATGTTAGATAAATTTATTCTGGTGCAATAGCAGTGCCAAAAAGGCTTTTTAGGATATCATATAAATCTCTGTAAGTACATATATCTGAAGTATATTAAAACAATGTCTGATCAATAGCTTACTCTAACGATGGATGAAATGTTGACAACATTTTGCATAAGTATTTAAGTTTTTGAGTTTGGCTACGGCTGACAAACTTAACAGTCAACAACATTGAGTTGGATAATTTATCAAATAGGGCTGCTGAAAAGATGTGCTAACAATAACTAGTCAATATATTTAAAAAGGCAACTGTGAGTAAAACTAGTGTAAATCAAGACAATATAGGTTTGCTAGTTATATAACTAAAAATGAAGACACGTGCCTGCAAAAATCATCATGAAGCGCAACTCATTTGGCTAAAATTCTAAGCAGGCTTTCTGAAGATGGTTTCCATTTAAAATTCCGTGTGAAACTGGACTTGTCTACTGTCTGTAAATAGGCAGACTGGCTGCTGTGGCTATCCCACACATGTTGTGGTCATTTCTGGCTATCCAGATGTAACCTTGCATTCCCCAATTTGTTCCTGGTGATGAGAAAATCAATATTTTATGATATGATACACATCTAGAAACAGTTTAGTGTAAAAGGAAATGTTCTTATTCAACAACATTGTGAGACAAACGCAAAAAATATTTAAAACTTGAAATATAAATGCAATGTGAAAATTACCTCCACTAGAGAGAAATTAATCAAATGCTTTACATTTAGAGCAGAGGTGTCACTTATTTAACACAATTAAGTGTGCAAAATATTTACACATGAAAATATGCCTATGGGACATTCTCAAATAGGTATATGATACCAAACTGAAAAAGTTTTTTATACTCTGATAATTTTACAAATGTTATTTTCTGATCCTGAAATATTAAATAAATTGAATGGCTCTCACCCCAGCTATTCTTACAGATCCAGTAATCCTTTCCAGACATGCTACCATACCCCACCAACAGGAGAGCATGGTCCAATTGTTTATCACTACATCTTCGCTCTACATACACCCCACTCCTGTACAACTGGAATGAAGCATGGTTAGCATCAACCAACACCACCACAGGATTTTGGAGAACAGCAAGTTGAAGGTCTGTCTCATTGCCTTGCATAACAGTTCGGGATCCTTTGATCTAAATAAAAATAAAATCATGTTTGTGTAGACATTCTATTACAACAATTTTAAGTTTCTTGCAATACCGCACAAGTAATTTTCTATTAAAAAATTTAAATATTTTTGTGCAATGAAATACAACATGATGTACCCATTGGTGTACCCGTTTACGTGTATCAAGTGTTTACAGATACAAGTTGAATAATTATCTCTTTTTTGACATTTCTATTCAACGAACTGGTAACAGAAGATAGTATGTGTTATGACTGATGGGGTCTTACCCATGTGGAACTTAACAGTCACAAGAACTTGCCATGTGCTTCTTACAGATAACACTTTTTTAAAACACGTCACTCCTTAGATGGTAGTTTGGTCAAGATGTGACCAAATAGATATAACATTATGTCTGAGGAAAAAGCCTTTTATCTTTTGAAAAAAATCTCCATGAATATCAATATTTCCTCATGTTGCTTTAGGTTTCTCACCTGTACAGCAGGGTGGCAAGAAGTACTGTGACATACTCCACTAGAAGCATTATAAGGATAGTCTGCCTCTGAGCACAGTCCACCCAGCTTTTTAATGCAAGCAAAAGGATTCCCCATTAGGTGTCCTCTTGTGCAACAGTCCGAAGTCTCTTGTTCACTCAGGGCAACCGCATGGCCAGTATTGATTATGAGGTAACTATATATGCTGTCTGAAATAAATACATGAGATAGCTTTGAAGATTATCACATAATGTAATAAATTACAGCCTGTGGATATTTTCTTTTTGATGCATTTGTATTCCTTCAGATATACTATATTTTCAATAATTTAAGATGACAAAATTCACTTCATTTTCTGGGGTTGTCTCTATAGTCCGAAGGTTCATTGGTCTGAAGGTTCATTGGTCAAAAAAATGGTAACATTTTCTTTGGTTTTTTAAATCAAGGGTTCATTGGTCCTTTGGGTCCAATAGTAAACATTCGGATTAATGAATCTTTGGACTATTGAACCTTTGGACTATTGCTATGGCCCCCATCTTCCATATCAAGTCAATCTTGAAGTAAAAGAAGTTATCATTTTCATTTTAAAATAAAACTGTTGTTATTATTATTATTATTATTATTATTATTATTATTATTATTATTATTATTTTAACATGGTTATATCAAATTTTACAATTAAACTATCACCCATAACTGCAGATGCAGTAGCATCCCTGACTTGATTATGAACTCCTAGAACCACATTCTTTTCCCTCCAGTCAAAGGAAGCTGGAGCACCCTGTAGTTTTTGATACATGTATTTCACTTCTTCTGTCTTTTGTCTTTTAACCACAGCTGTTTCGCTCACCATAGCCTGTACAATAGAACAGCATGATATGCTCTGTATAATATCCTTTTATACACTGTTTATATATGCACAAAATTCATGTAGACAAAAACTTTCAAATTTATGACACAATAAAATGAAAATATGACCGTGCAACTCAGCAAGTGCAATTAATGCAGAAACATTCCATTCCTATTGCAATGTATCTGAAGAGACTGTGTCAATTTTTCTTTTTTTTTTTTTTTTTTTTTTTTGTAACAGAATGCAATAAATGTTTCCCCATGTTCATAAAACCAGGAAGTGTCATTTGGTGTCAGGATGTCTTTTTTTTTTTTACAAAGTCCTTGAAGAGTTATAAAAAGTATACATAGATCAATACATATGCTTACTTGTGATAACTGGGCCCCATAACTCAAAAGCATCGCGCATATTGCCACCGAGCGAAAGAGTCTCAATTCCATAACTGCCATATGGGGCAAGTTATGGAATTGAGACGCTTGTGCTGGTTGTCAAATATTAATTTCATTGACTCACCTTCAGTGTTCTGTCAGCAAATTCATTAATTTCCACAGTGAACGAAGAATACTTTGAGTTGTGGTCCAGCACAAAGGCTAAATTCCTGGCCCAAGTATATCTTCTAAATTCTTCCTCGGCAGCACTTTCATATTTTTTGTGATGCTGTTTCTTCCATATTTGCCAGTGAGTTTCATTTATATTCAAACTGGCTGAGGCCAAAGGTATTAGGAAACAAGCTAAAAACACAACATGCTCCATTCTGATCTGTATTCAAATTGATAAGATAGCAGATTGATCTCTGCATGTTATGTCAATGTTTGGGTGCAAGTTATTATCATAGTGTGTGTTCATTGGTTCATAATTAGGTTAAAACCATATAGGTGATAACTGATTCACTTAAATTAATCATATCACATAAGGTTGCCTTTGAAAAGTTTTAACAGCTCTTGGACAGTTTTGTATGTTTGTTAAAAATTATGTTAAGGTTTGATCGTAACTTTTCCAGAATCCCAGTGTGACCCTGACAGAAAATTTAAAGCTATTTTTTTTTCTTTATCATTAAGTGCCAACTTAACTAAAATAATCAAAAAGAAATCTTTTTAAAAAGTTTTTATCATCGGAATGTAAGACAACTTTATTCTGCTGCTATAGCAGTGCCAAAGGGACTTTTTAGGATATCATATAAATCTCTGTAAGTACATATATATTGTAAGTATATTAAAACAATGTCTGATCAATAGCTTACTGTAACGATGGGTGAGATGTTGACACTATTTTGCATAGGTGTTTAAGTTTTTGAGCTTGACTGTGACAAACTTCAACAGTCAACAACATATTAAAATATAATATAATTACTCAAACAGGGCTGCTGGAAAGATGTGCCAACAATAACTGCATGTAGTCTGATAAAAAAGGCAACTGTGAGTAAAACTAGTGTAAATTAAGATAAAAAAGGTTTGCTAGTTATATAACTAAAAATGAAGTCATGTGCCTGAAATTTCATTGTGAAGCACAACTCAGTTGGCTAAAATTCTAAGCAGGCTTTCTGAGAATTGTTTCTATTTTAAATTCTATGTGAAACAGGACTTGGCTAGTGTCTTTAAATAGGCAGACTGGCTGCTGTGGCTATTCCACACATGTTGTGGTCATTTCTGGCTATTAAGATGTAACCTTGCATTCCCCAATTTGTTCCTGGTGATGAGAAAATTGATATTTTATGATATGATACACATCTAGAAACAGTTTAGTGTAAAAGGAAATATTCTTATTCAATAACATTGTGACACACACATGAAGAAATAAAAAAAAATTGCAATATTAATGCACTGTGGAAATTTACCTTCTCTAGAGGGAAGTTAACCAAGAGCTTTACATTTTTGACAGTTTTTTGTATGTTTATTTTTCACTTATGTAACAAAATTAACTGTGCAAAATATTTACACATTAAAATAAACCTTTTGACATTTTCAAACTTATACATGATACCAAATTGACTCTAAGTTTTTATACACTTTGATAATTTTTCTAATGATATTTCTGATCAAATATTAAATAAATTAAATGATATACGAAATATTAAATATATCCAATGGCTCTCACCCCAGCTGTTTTTACAGATCCAGTAATCCTTTCCAGACATACTACCATACCCCACCAACAGGAGAGCATGGTCCAATTGATTATCACTACATCTTCGCTCTACATACACCCNCATACATGACACCAAATTGACTCTAAGTTTTTATACAAATTTGATAATTTTTCTAATGATATTTCTGATCAAATATTAAATAAATTACATGAAATACGAAATATTAAATATATCCAATGGCTCTCACCCCAGCTGTTTTTACAGATCCAGTAATCCTTTCCAGACATGCTACCGTACCCCACCAACAGGAGAGCATGGTCCAATCTTTTATCACTACATGTGTTGTCTACATACACCCCACTCCTGTACAACTGGAATGAAGCATGGTTAGCATCAACCAACACCACCACAGGATTTTGGAGAACAGCAAGTTGAAGGTCTGTCTCATTACCTTGCATAACAGATCGGGATCCTTTGATCTAAGTGGAAAATAGAATGATGTTCTGGTTACAAAATTTGTAACATCACTTGCAATACAGCATGATTTATTTTTTCTATCAAAAGATTTATATATTTTTGTGCAATGAAATATGACATGTCATATGCATTGCTTTAGCTGTTTACATCCATCAGGTGTTTGCAAATACACATTGGCTGATTATATCTATCTTGATATTTCAATTTCATGAATTGGTAGCAGAAGATTGTACATTAGAGGAAAATAACATAAAAAATCTCCATGGATATCGATATTTCCTCATGTTGCTTTAGGTTTCTCACCTGTGCAGCAGGGTGGCAAGAAGTACTGTGACATACTCCACTAGAAGCACTATGAGGATAGTCTGCCTCTGAGCACAGTCCACCCAGCTTCTTAATGCAAGCAAATGGATTCCCCATTAGGTGTCCTCTTGTGCAACAGTCGGAAGTCTCTTGGACACTCAGGGCAACCAGCTGACCAGTGTTGATTTTGTGGTAGCTATCTATGCTGTCTGAAAAAATACATGAATGGAATAGCTTTGAAGATCATCACATGCAATAAACTACAACATGTGGATGATTTTCTTTTTTTTTTTTTTTTACAATTCAATATTCCTTCAATTATAATTTCAGTAATTTGTGATGATAAAATTCACTTCATTTTCAAATAAAACTACCGTTTCCAGCCAAAGCTAGCACTTTGACAAAAGGTTAAAATAATTCATTTTACATGTGTCTAGAGTTCATATACACATATTATTTTAACATATATCAGATTGTACAATAAAACCATCACCTGTAACTGCAAATGCAACAGCATCCCCTGAACTGCCTTGATTATGAACTGGTGGGACCACTCCCCTTTTTCTCCAGTCAAAGGAAGCAGGAGTACCTTGTAGTTTTTGATATATGTATTTCACCTCTTCTGTCTTCTGTCTTTTAACCACAGCTGTTTCCCTCACCATTTCCTGTACAATTGAACAGCATGATATGTTCTGTAAAATCCTTTTCATGCACTGTTTATATGTACAAAATTCATATAGACAAAAACTTTCAAATAAATGACACAAGTAAATGACAATATGATTGCAACTCAGCAAGTGCAGGAAGGAAACATTCCACTGCTATTGTTATGTATCTGAAGAGACTGTGTCAATAAAATATTTTTATAATAGAATACTAGAAAATGTCTTTCCAATATTCATAAAACCAGGAAATGCATGCCACTTGCTGTCAGGATGTTTTTTCACAAAGTCCTTGAAGACTTAAAAAGTATACATCAATGCACCTGTTTACTTGTGATAAAAATGATCAAATATTAATTTTATTGACTCACCTTCAGTGTTCTGTCAGCAAATTTATTAAGTTCCACTGTGAATGAAGGATACTTTGAGTTGTGGTCCAGCACAAAGGCTAAATTTCTCGTCCATGTATGTTTTCTAAATTCTTCCTCAGCAGCACTTTCATATTTTTTGTGATGCTGTTTCTTCCATATTTGCCAGTGAGTTTCATTGGCAGGAAAACTGGCCGTGGTCAGAGAAAATAAGAGACAAACCAAAAAAGCAACATATACCATTCTGAAACAGAATTTAAAATGTGCAGCATTGGTAGGTCAGTTTATCAGTAAGTTTACTTATCAGTTGTTATCTAAATCCTGATTACATAGTGGGCAAACAATACAATAAAGCCAGCTAGAATATTGTTTCCTAGTTTTTTTATTTCATACTGAAAACATTACCATAGTTATTACATATGTGCAGTATGCCCCTCCGCCCCCCCCCCCCCCCCCCGAAAAAAAACTTGATAAATAAAACTTCCCCATGTTTTTTTTTTCAACTAAATCCAGTTATGCATTGTCTTGATAACTGATCAATGTTTGTGTTAAACAAATAAATAAGTTTCAAAATCTACTCTATTGTCTTTAAGATTATACAAGAAAGTTCATTCAAATGTAGGCATACTGAAAGCTTAAGTAAAACAACGAATATCAAGGAATACATATTGTATTTTAATATATAAATTTTTGTAAAATCGAGAGAGAGAGAGAACTGATGTAAAGAAACTTATCAAAGACAAAACTTATCACACACCTCAAAGCATTAATTATTTTTCACTTTTGAGTTGCCGCAGTAATGTTTACATGGTCCACCATCTTGTCTGTCATGTGACCGTGGGAATTTAATCATATGACTTACATTTGGACGAGTTCAAGTTATAAACTTGGTTAGAAGTGGTCATTTCATTCTTCAAAATCAGCACCGTTTGTAAAAATGATGAAAATGAAGCTAAACAGAAGAAACAATACCAAATGATAAAGAACTGAATCTTTTTTTCATCAACTTTGTAGCTCGCTGGTCGGACGATTTCATTCTGCTGCGACCGCAATGTCAAAATGGCTGCGGAGGAAAACATGGTGATCAAGCGAAGCAGTTCTTTACAACGCCTCCTTGCCTCCATAAAACAACACCGAGAACGTGACAGTAAACGTAGTAGCTCCAACAGTTCAGAGGGTAACGTTATTTTTATTAATTTTTTCTATAATCTCATGTGGGAGGCCAGTTACACTGTTTAGCTACTCAGTCTCTTAGTACTCTAGTCGAGGAGGGCGGTCTAGCACTATTTCGTTTGCTTACTTCATTGCATTCACACTGAGTAATCAGCAGCACAAATAAATTAATGGATCGATGTTGCAATATTTGTAGCTGTGTTATTTAATATCATTGAAGGCAGTGAAAATGCGTATGCGAACTTTGTGCACATAATTTAATTTTGGCAGTTCATGTCAAAATGACTATTGTCTCTTGATTTGTTAGTTGTCATGTCAAAACTACTAATATCATTGCTAATAAATCACGTAACAACCAGTTATGGATAGACTTGTACTGCAGGTTATTTAAACTTCAGTCTGTGTGTGTGTGCATGAAGTTATTAGGGTATCATTAAGACACGAAATTTTACTTCACTGGAGGGGGGAGTTAACATTGTTGCACATAATAAAAAACATGATCAGTGTAATCCAGTGTGTGTGTGTGTGTGTGTATCTTTATTTTGTCATTTTCAAAACCATATTGGATAAAATAACTACAGGTGCAATAGGGAATGATAATGTTACAACTCTGTCATATTCAATATCAGCCCTTGAGCTACATGGATTTTTGTTTGTAGAAACTTATATATTAAGTATTAATATATATATTTTCCTTTCAATGCTTCACAATTTTTCATCCTAAAAGCTATAGATTTCACACATTATTATGNTATACATGATACCAAATTGACTCTAAGTTTTTATACACTTTGATAATTTTTCTAATGATATTTCTGATCAAATATTAAATAAATTAAATGATATACGAAATATTAAATATATCCAATGGCTCTCACCCCAGCTGTTTTTACAGATCCAGTAATCCTTTCCAGACATACTACCATACCCCACCAACAGGAGAGCATGGTCCAATTGATTATCACTACATCTTCGCTCTACATACACCCCACTCCTGTACAACTGGAATGAAGCATGGTTAGCATCAACCATCACTACCACAGGATTTTGGAGAACAGCAAGTTGAAGGTCTGTCTCATTACCTTGCATAACAGTTCGGGATCCTTTGATCTAAGTGGAAAATAAATTGATGTTCTGATTTAAAAAAATTAACATCTCTTGCAATACAGTATGATTTATTTTTCTATCAAAAGATTTATATATTTTTGTGCAATGATATATGACATGTTCTATCCATTGCTTTACCTGTTTACGTATATCAGTTGTTTGCAAATACACATTGATTATCTCTACGTTGACATTTCAGTTCCATGAATTGGTAGCAGAAGATTGTACATTAGAGGAAAATGCCTCATAAAACTGGTATAAAATAAAAGATAATAAAATAATAATAATAATAAAATACATAATCTCTATAGATATTGATATTTCCTCATTATGCTTTAGGTTTCTCACCTGTGCAGCAGGGTGGCAAGAAGCACTGTGACATACTCCATTAGAAGCACTATGAGGATAGTCTGCCTCTGAGCATAGTCCACCCAGCTTCTTAATGCAAGCAAAGGGGGCCTCCATTAGGTGTCCTCTTGTGCAACAGTCAGAAGTCTCTTGGACACTCAGGGAAACCAGCTGACCAGTGTTGATTTTGTGGTAGCTATCTATGCTGTCTGAAAAAACACATGGATGGAATAGCTTTGAAGATCATCACATAAGCAGTGAACTATAGCTACAACATGTAGATAATTTTCTTTTGTTGCAATTCAGTATTTCTTCGAATGAATTTTCAATAGTTTAAGATAATAAAATTCACTTCATTTTCATATAAAATAATTGTTTCTTTCCAGCCAAAGCTTACACTTTGACAACAGGTTTAAATAATTTATTTTTCATGTGTCAAGAGTTCATACACACATATTATTTTAACATATATCAAATTGCGCAATAAAACCATCACCTGTAACTGCATATGCAGCAGCATCCCCTAAACTGCCTTGATTATGAACTGGTGGAACCACTCCCCTTTTCCTCCAGTCAAAGGAAGCAGGAGCACCTTGTAGTTTTTGATACATGTAAATCACCTCTTCTGTCTTCTGTCTTTTAACCACAGCTGTTTCCCTCACCATTTCCTGTACAATTGAACAGCATGATATGTTCTGTAAAATCCTTTTTATGCATTGTTTATATGTACAAAATTCATATAGACAAAAACTTTCAAATAAATGACACAAGAAAGTGACAATATGACTCTGCAACTCAGAAAGTGCAGTAAGGAAACATTCCACTGCTATTGATATGTATCTGAAGAGACTGTGTTAATAAAATCTTTTTATAATAGAATACAAGAAAATGTCTTTCCAATATTCATAAAACCAGGATGCACATGTCATTTGCTGTCAGGATGTTTTTTCACAAAGTCCTTGAAGACATAAAAAGTATACATCAATGTATCTGCTTGCTTGTGATAACAATTATCAAATATTAATCTTATTGACTCACCTTCAGTGTTCTGTCAGCAAAGTTATTAAGTTCCACCATGAACGAAGGATACTTTGAGTTGTGGTCTGCCACAAAGGCCAAATTTCTGGCCCATGTATGCCTTCTAAATTCTTCCTCAGCAGCACTTTCATATTTTTTGTGATGCTGTTTCTTCCATATTTGCCAGTGAGTTTCATTGGCAGGAAAACTGGCCGTGGTCAGAGAAAATAAGAGACAAACCAAAAAAGCAACAGGTGCCATTCTGAAACAGAATTTTAAATGTGCAGCATTGGTAGGTCAATTTATCAGTAAGTTTCCTTATCAATTATCATCTAAATTCTGATTACATAGTGGGCAAACAATACAATAAGGTCAGACTAATATTTCCTAGTTTTCCTATTTCATATTGAAACATTAGTTATTACATGTGCAGTATGCCTTTCCCACCCCACCCTGACAGAAAAAAAAATAAATAAAACTTTCCCGTTTTTTTTTTCAACTAAATCCAGTTATTCATTGGCATTGGTACATTCAAATGTACCGAAAGCTGAACTCCGGGTGTACGTAAGTGAGAGGTCTAAATAAAGTAATTTAGAAGTGGAGATCAAAGACACCACATACATGATAAAAAATTATAAGGGTCACCACCTATTAAATAGTTTAATTAAATAAAACAACGAATATCAACGGATGCCGATTGTATTTTAATATCTAATTTTTTGTAAAAATCGAGAGAGAGGGTCGGTTTAAAAAATTATCAGATAACATATACCTCAAAGCATTATTTATTTTTCATTTTTCACTTTCGAGTTGCCGCAGTAATGTTTACATGGTCCACCATCTTGTCAGTCATGTGACCGTGGGAATTCAATCATATGACTTGCATTTGGACGAGTTCAAGTTATAAACTTGTTTAGAAGTGGTCATTTCATTCTTCAAAACCAGCACCATTTGTAAATATGATGAAAATGCAGCTAAACAGAAGAAACAATACCAAATGATAAAGAACTGAATCTTTTTTTTTTTTAATTTTGCAGCTCGCTGGTCGGACGATTTCATTCTGCTGCGACCGCAATGTCAAAATGGCTGCGGAGGAAAACATGGTGATCAAGCGAAGCAGTTCTTTACAACGCCTCCTTGCCTCCATAAAACAACACCGAGAACGTGACAGTAAACGTAGTAGCTCCAACAGTTCAGAGGGTAACGTTATTTTTATTAATTTTTTCTATAATCTCATGTGGGAGGCCAGTTACACTGTTTAGCTACTCAGTCTCTTAGTACTCTAGTCGAGGAGGGCGGTCTAGCACTATTTCGTTTGCTTACTTCATTGCATTCACACTGAGTAATCAGCAGCACAAATAAATTAATGGATCGATGTTGCAATATTTGTAGCTGTGTTATTTAATATCATTGAAGGCAGTGAAAATGCGTATGCGAACTTTGTGCACATAATTTAATCCTGACATTTCATGTCAAAATGACTGTATTGTCTCTTGATTTGTTGGTAGTCATGTCAAACCTACTAATATCATTGCTAATAAATCACGTAACAACCAGTTATGGATAGACTTGTACTGCAGGTTATTTAAACTTCAGACTGTGTGTGTGTGTGTGTGTGTGTGCATGAAGTTAGTAGGGTATCATTAAGACACGAAATTTTACTTCACTGGAGGGGGGAGTTAAGATTGTTGCACATAATAAAAAACATGATCAGTAATCCAGTGTGTGTGTGTGTGTGTGTGTGTGTCTTTATTTTGTCATTTTCAAAACCATATTGGATAAAATAACTACAGGTGCAATAGGGAATGATAATGTTACAACACTGTCATATTCAATATCAGCCCTTGAGCTACATGGATTTTTGTTTGTAGAAACTTATATATTAAGTATATATATATTTTTTCCTTTCAATGCTTCACAATTTTTCATCCTAACAGCTATAGATTTCACACATTATTATTATTATTATTATTATTATTATTATTATTATTGATATATTTATTTACTCATCATTTGTCATATTTATGGGACATTGCCTAAACTTGTGTTAATCCATCACTGTGATTGATTTGCTTCTAAAGGTATTATGTAGTCATACATAGACATATATATATATATATATATATATATATATATATATATATATCAGGTTGACAGAAAACATCTCCTAGGGATATAAACAACCAAATGAAATCATCTGCCATTGAAAGCTGTCAGACGTATCAATTCCTTCCTAACTTCATGTAATAATGATGTTTCATTTCACCTTGAGGTAGAGTGAAAGCACCGTAACTTGGTGCAAAGTTGAGAGAATATCTCTGATATGTTCAGTAATGATAAGCCTTGACAGAAGTGATAAGTCACAAAGTCTAGTGGTCCACATTCACGTTTACTTAAGGGAGGAGCAACAATCTTGTTTACAGAATCCTTTATCATAATGTCCAACAGAGAAACCCCGCCTTTTCCAGTAAGATTTTTTAAAATTAATTTTGCAAATTATATTGATAATTATCTTTAGAGATTGACTGGAGTCAGAAATAAGTTCCACTTTAATTACTTACTTCAATTGATTAAGTTATTTCATCATTTTTTCCAGATGGTTTTGTAGTAGTCAATTCTTCAAAGGAAACCTTTTGGACTAGGATATTTTCACAGCATTTTCTAGAAGGTGGAGGAGATGGTAATGACGCAAGAGATGACATGATGTTTTATGTGAAGAAAAATTTAGGAGGAAAAAGTAGACTAACAGCTCAGGTAAACAATCACCAGGGGTTTTTTTCTTGTAAATTTGATGACCTTTTTTTTCAAGTATTGTATTTTAAAAAATTGATTACTGTTATTGTTTTTCCTGTTATTTATTCATGAATTTTTGTTGTTTATTTCAAATGCCTTTCTTTTCTCTTCTTTGTTACTCATATTTAACCAAACTGTTTTTAAATTGATTTGTGATCTTTTGAAAAATTATGCCAATTGTGCTTAAACAATTGCAGTTGATTGATAAATGTGAGGTATTGGGTTTAAAATTGAGTAGCTTTGGTGTTATTCCTAGATTTTACGGGATTGCTTCCAGGCTGATTTTGTCATATGAAATTCAGTGTTGAGTCAGAATTATACAAAGTCAATATTGCTGAGTGACTGTTGAATATCAGAGTATCATAGAAAACTTCATAACCAGTCAATTGATTTGTACAGTCATGCAGTTTGCAGATTTAACAAAGAATCCTCACTTCTGAATAATCATTTTTACTAAATGTGCTTACTGAAATTTTTAAGCAGGGATAAGTTGTAAATGAAAGAACATATCTTGAATAATTATTAGTTAGTATATTAATCATTTTGAGTGATATGATTTATCTTTTTAAGCCAAAAAGTTGAAGGCAGTGGTGTAGAATTGTAACTATTTAAATTATTTGAGGCAGTCCATTTTTTTTCCAGGCTGATATAGATGTATATAGAAAAGATTCAAAAAAGCTTCCCACTTTAGGAGACCCTGCCATCGACTGGGAGGAAACTGTGTACTTAAATGTAATTTTACATCAAGTAAGTATATTTATGCTTTCCAAAGAGTCACACAGTCATATTTAACTGTGTCGATCAGTGGTTACTTCCATAACTTTATAAAAAAAGATAAAAAAAGACATCCAGGTTTGATAATTGTCATTGTTGTAGCTTAAAGTATTCTATTTCAATTATTTTACTTGTAGTACAAGAATTGTGTGCAAAAATGTAAATAAGAGAAATGTAAATTATTTCTAAATGCAGTCTTCTTTTCCTGAAATGTAATCACAAATGTCTGGGGAAATGTAATACAGACAACTGGAAACTTCTGAGCAATTTATGAATGTTTACTTTCAGTGGTTTTATGTAATTTGATTGAAATCATTTTTCTGTCAAGACTTTTCAGCAGAATGTCTGCCACAGAAATATCACTCATCATGCTTCTGAAAAACCACAATTTCCTGGAAAAATCTAATGCTCTATTTTATTTCCCGTAAAAGAAATGTATGATAAGTGACATCCAGAGACTGTTGTGAATATCAATTTTTAATTCCTTAAGAGACGAAATTGATATCTTTGGCTAACACATCTGCCCAATATACCACTTCATTCTTAAAAAGCCATTTTCCATGTTGCTAATACTAAACAAGGGATGATTCACCAAGTCTGTGGCTCTTGCCTGTCAATATATTTGCTCGTTTGCTGGAATGCCTGTAAGTAGATCTGACACAGAGAATTGGAAAGGAAAATGGATGATTCAGAGAGACCAATGTACCAATTTGGCTCAATATACCATTCCCTTAATGGTTCAGTGAAGCATATTGTATTTTCGGATATTATATGCTAGAGAGATGTCCTTATAAAGCTTTAGATAAGGAACAGTGCACAAGTGTTGATATTTTTTATCTCAATAAGCTTATTTCTCTTGGGGTGGATGAGCTCCATCTGAATGAAACGGGCTATGTTTGGTATATTTTTGTCTTCTTTGAGATCATGCTGATGCTGTTAACTTCTACATACTCTCACTCAACATCTTACAGGGTACTAAAATCATGACTGGTTATTGGTCAGTGGTCAACTAGCAAGGCTGCGGTGTCCAGCTTTGACAGAATCTGACATCATGTTTCAAATATAAAGATGCCATGTAATATAAACATCACCATCACCAACATTGAATCTGATTGTTTTATTGATATAAGTGGTCGTGCAGTTGTAGTAATATATCACATTGGTAATTGGTTCTAACTGGATACTCTGTGTGTGAGAGTCTACCAAAATATTTGCAACTGGGGACAGTTTCGTTACTGACAGAACTAAGTTTAACAAAGGTTTGTTATAATGTATAAGATTGTTCATTAGGAAATATCGTTTCTGTTTTTCCAGTGTCCTCTGCTAGATTTGCTAGTCAAGATGCACTAAAACAACCTAAGTGATGATTCATGTCGGTTTAAGGGCGGTTGCTGATTTTGCTGAATATTGTGCCCTGGAACATGTAGCAGTTATCAGATTGGATTTGATCTGTCTGGAAAAATGAATGTAAAAACCTGAATGGATGCTATATATGCAACATGCCTTTTGCCTTTTTTGCTGAAAGTAACTTGAATGTGAAGTGGTTTTCAGGCAGAGCTAAGAAAGAATGGGTGTCATGTTTTTGTTCTTGGAAATTACTTACGGGCTTTGGCTCCTTTCTTGAATGAAGTTGAATGCCAGTATCATGTTTCTGTTTGGCAAAGTGATATCATTCCCAAGATACTGACCAAACTCAGTTTTATTGATTAGATAATAAAGTAGATGATTAAGATAATTAATCACTCCTTATTTTTGCTTAATTATTAGAATGGCTTCTAGCAAATTGATTTTTTTTTTTTTTTTTGTCTCTGAGAAGAGACAGAAATGTTATATGTCATGCAAGTAGGGTTTATTTATAAGCAGATTAAACTACAGTGAGAAACACACAAATTCATAGAAAGGTACACGATAATGTAAAAGAAAATGAAGAAAGAAGATGCAGAGATTTGGATGCATAGCCCCTAAGTAAATAATTGATTGAATTCCCAGGCTCTGCAGTCTAACTGCACTTAGATTCTTCACAAGTGAATTGATTTTCTTTTTTGGCACCTTCATTGAATAACAATAGGGAGACTTCACATCATAAATTATCTTGACATTATTTACTCCCTGGTATAGACTGGCCAGACTTGGATTGTTTACTCTTTACATTATGATGCAATTGTTATTATTGTGCCGTAGGCGACGTAATGGATATTGTCATGTATGCACAGGGTATTGATTCCCTGTTGTCATTGTGGAAGATAGACTAGATAAGGAAATTAGGTTAGAAGTCAGGAAAAGTACACTGTGTAGGTGATTTTTTGAAGAGGAGCTAGGACAATGCAGCGCTGTCAAGTCTGATTTGCTTTCTACTCAATACATCTGGGGCAAAGTAATCAATAAATATGAGCGTGTGCATGTGAGTGTGTGGGAGTATGCAGACAGTTGTTTGTACAGAAAAGATGTACAGATTTATCAATATTATTATTTAAAGGATAATGGTTATAGCTTATTTTGTCAAGAAAATTGAACAAAAATTCTTACAGTTGTATATGCTGTTTCAGATAGAATATCAACTTACCTGTGCAGTATGTAGCAGAACAGGGGATAAAGAATTACAAATACTCAAAAAAATTAGCCAAGTAAGTGTATAGGATTGGGTAATTTTGTTGCTTGCAAATTGAATGCATTGACTATGTTGAGATCACCATATACTGGTTTGAAGTTCATTTACATTGTGTCAGAATTTGAAAGTTAGATATTGGTGTACCTCACAGATAAGGTCATAATGTTGACCCTGATAACTTTGCCATGATCTGTTTGTCTGCACTCTGATTTTCCAAATTGAATTCCATTAAAATACTTAATGTCTGTCATTTTGGGAACAAACCTAAAGTCAAAAGTATTGTCTCACTAAATATGCTTCATTTCACATTGTTATTTCTGATAATCTTTTTACCGATTTTCTTTTCAGAAAGTATATGCATCTCCTAGTCGTAGGCAAATGGAAAGTAAAGGCACAGAAGAAATAATGACATACCCAGATATATTTTTCATGATAGATGATTTTGAAGAGGTGAGTAGGAAATGTTGTAACATAAATGGTGATACTCATAACTAGAACGAAAAATATGATCATAAGAAATAGGATTTTATTATCACATAGTAATATACCAGTGTTTCATATTTTGGCACATATTCTTCTTTATTATATTATCATCACTAAATATTTATTCCACAAAGTATGGCTGCTTTTGTACCCATCTCCAATGGTTAAGTCTCTCACGTTGAGCTCTTTGCTGCTTTATATAGATTCTGATTGATTTTTGCCTCCCAATGGAGTTTCATGAATCATGGTATCTGTTCATTGGTCAGTTTATGCCTTCTGGTTGGATTACAATTATATGTATTAACCATTATTATTATTATTATTATTATTATTATTATTATTATTGCTATATGTATCATCTCCTTGTCAAAGATAATAGTAATAATGATATTTTCAGAAATGAAGTAAGAGGTTGTTTTTCATATATATTATAATCAATACACTCTGGAATTCACACCATAGTTCTCTTGTGTATTGTTTTAAACGAGCTATTTAACTCTCTGCAGTGCTAATGTGTTTGTTCATAGTTCACGTTTACATAAATTTGATTTGAATACTAGGCTGTTGTTACCCTAATGACTTGGGAGTTGGTAGATAGATAGAATAAGTATTGAATTTACAGGTAACATTTGTTACTGATAGGTGGCTGTTTGGAATGTCTTGAGTTTTGAACAAAATCCTTCTATTTGATTTTACAACACAGTATATGAAACTATTTCCTAAAAATGAAAATTCCAAATAGCTGACTTGGATTTTTGTCTGGAAAGTGTGTGTTTGTGTGAAATTAAAGCTGAATGAATCTTTGAAATGATTTAAGAGTATTGGAATAGATTTAGGTTTTTGATCATTTTAAATAACAATAGTTATTGTAATTCCCTCGTTTTATCATATTTTTTCAAATTAAGACAAGAATTACTATAATTACAGTAGAAAACACTGGACCAGGTAAATGTGACTTCATGATTCAAGATTATAACCTTGGAAAAATGTTTACAAATTCACTTTAATAAATCATTCACACTGTAATATCTACCAGTGAGTGTGATAGCAGAAGTCATATGGCGCCATGTTTATCTGATATTCAGTGATGCCATTTGCAAACAGTGTAGATTTACATGATTTAGCTATAAAAAACCAAACAACTCATTAAAGGTGATGTGCAGCATATGAAATGTGTAAGAGAATGTGAGAAAATGTTGATTGAAGCAAATCTTGACATTTTATTTTTATAAAATTACTTAACACTATGCCATAGATGAAAAATCTTAGCTAACTAGTACATGCTGTTTGCTTTTTTTCCAGATATTTAGTGACATTATAATCCGTGACAGTGAGATGGTATGTGTAGAACTGGTGGCCAGTGATCGTATGGGAGAGCACCATGGAGTGATATTCCTGGGCTCAGTGCGATATGATGCTCTCAGGAGGGTTTATGATACTAGGGTAAGTGGAGACATCTATTGGCAATTTTATTGTGATTGATTTGTCAAAATTTAAACATACATGATACTAAGGTAAATAGGGCATCTAGTGGCAATTTATCGTGAGCTACATCTCACAAACTTATTTTCAAAAATAAGACAAATACATTTGTAATACCCTTAATGATCAACCAAAATGCAATCATATGGATTTTTTTTTTCAAATTTTTCAAATGCTAAATATGATAGAATTATTCAAAAGTTTAAAAAAATCTGAATATTTTGGTGCAGTTTATTATTGTTTAGGTTATTCTATCTAAAGAATAAATAAATAAATTATACATATCTAAAGCAGCGTTTTCTGTTTTATTTCAGGCTAGTCTATCCCACAGAATGGCCAGTTCTATGTCCCTAGGTTTATTTAGTGGTAATCGTAGGGTAGAATTCTTAAAAATGCGTGGTCCAGGGAGTAAAGGTTTTGCCGAGATGGCAGTGAGCAGGGTGCAAGGGACAGGAGTAGACACACCTGCTTCAACACCAGACTCTGAGAATTTCCCAGAAAATGGCTTTGAAGAGGTAAGACCGAAAGAAGCTAATAAAAGAGGAATGTTTACTGGAGTAAATATTATGGAAAATTGTTGTTCAAAGAGATAATGATGGTCATTGAGATAAAGAAATGATTACATTTACCTGTCATGAGCTAATCATATACCCATCCGAGTATGGCTGGAACTAAGTTTCGGACATCCTAAATAAAAAAACTGAAACCATCCATATTCTCAATTCAGATGAGTGTACCGAGTTTTCATGCTTGATTGAAAAAAATGTGTCCTTTCTTTTGTCCAAGGCTCCGAACCCACCACAGAGGCGAATGAGTGATCCTAGTCAAGCCATTCAGTGGGTGAAGAGTAGCTTCAGGAGAGGCATGAAAAAGTCCCAGTCAGCACAGGAGAACGTGGACGATGTCAGCTCAAATAACTGCCAAGAAGTTGAAGCTTCCAACTTACTAGATGGTAATACTATACTGAAAACAGGCGTAGGTTAGAAAACCTGCTTAATACGGACATTAGATGTGTTTTGTTTATATTGATATTATACTGCAGTCATGTAAAGTCAGTATGTGTTGTTGTTTCATAGTTTTTTAATAAAAATTGTATGGTAATAATTTATTACATTCTCACAATCTGTGAACACATTGAACTTTCTTGTTTTCTTCAGTTTCATATTTTAACTGTGGTTTTGAATCTTTTTCTGTGTATTTTTCTTCTACTTATCTTTAAAATGTTAAATAATTCTGATATTTATGAGCTGATACTTGAAAATTAATGTTTTAAAGAAAACAGCTTTAGCAGTTAAACAATATGATTAAGAAGAAACGACAGATAAATTTATATTGAGAAACCACAAAACTAAATTCTGATTTTCATCTCATTTTCAGAACTTACTAAACCAGATAACTACGGCTTCATAGGGAAATCATTTGGGCAGGCCTGGCACTGGTTTAAAGAAAGACGGCGTGCAACTTCGCCGGCACTGAATGCCTACCTCACTTATGTCACATTACCATGGCACTTAATTATAGCTGGTGAGTTTGGGTTTAGGTAAAAAAATTGCATTGTGTCATGGGATATATTACGATGCTCAGGATTCCAGTGTCCAGTTCTTTTTATTAATGTGGGTCAGCTGATCTTGAGGCAACTCATCTTGTGGTCTTCTGATGATAATTTCCTCACCACAGGCAACAAATAGTTTCTCTGTTTTATCCTGCTTACTGTAATTGCTATTAAATTAAATCATGTGCTGTTTAATTGGCTTAAGTGGAAAAGTTATCTCCTCAGATGCCCTACTAGGTTGTTCGATTTAATAAATAATTGATAATTCTGCTCACAATGCCACAGCATAATTATGTTGTGGCTGTTTACAGATACAGTGACAAATGGTTTTAGCTTTAGTAAATGTTCTTTAGTATATCAGATTCCCAGTTACCAGAGAACTTTAATTGGTTGGTCACTGGGGGGCCAACTTCTATTATCACTGCACATTCTCATAAATCAGTAATCTCATCAAATTTCAGTGTAAATGTCAGAAAATTGCTTAAGAATAGGACAGCTTTTGATATTTCTGTTTGATGCTGTATTTTCTTTTAGAAGTGTGGTAAATTTTATGTTTAATATTATAATGAAATATGAATAGGTAGAAAGTGTTATCATAATATTCTGCCATGGTAGGTGCATTGCATGAGTCACTCCTTAATCATCACCACTAGACACACCTGATGTTTTTACCTGATCATTTAATGTCATTGCTTATTGTATGTATGGTTTTGTGTGTTACAGATGTCCTTGAACCTAGGCAACAACCTGTGTTGACATTTTAAATGGTGCTGTCAAATAATTGGTGCTTATTCACGTGTGCAACTCGGGGCTAGATATGGTATGCATGTGTAGCAGAGAAGCTCTTCGTCAAAGGAATGCTGGTTAGAAAGCCTGGCTGACCAGCGAGCACAAAAAGGAACTCAGAAAACCTGGGACCTGGTTGTATAACTATTGAATGAACTTGGTATGTTATTATTTGGATGTGGTAATAGGAAAAAAATGGAAGCATATTATTCAAGGTTAGTTTAAATGAAAGGGACAGTTACTGGGCATGAAATATTTGACTGCAGGATTTAGATTCAGTTGCTGGGGAGGTAACAGTAAAGAAATTGTTGTTTGAAAAGACTCTAGAAGGAAACCTATTTAAAATTTATTTTAATCTGTCAAAAGAAAACCAAATTTAACCAGTAAAAAGATACCTAAAGAGCTGCTTCATGGTTTACTGCTTTATATGAAATAGGACTGGCAGAATTCTGGAAGTTTTACCAGATATTGGTGACTTATTGCACTTTGATGAAGAGAAAAGTTGAAAATGAAGATGCGCATTCCTTGATGTTTGAGCACCGAATTTAATCATTCCACAACAAAGAAAACTTTGTTTTCATTTAATTATTGAAAATTCCACATCGTTTACAGAATTTGGTTACCATTATTGGTATAATTTTTAAATATTGCCAAGTGCATTCAAGTGAAATTATTTATTTTTTAAGATATTTGATGTGGCACCTCAATTTGTAGGGTGGATTTTAAGATGGATGGATGAAGACTTAATGTGGTTGGCCTATGTTTATTGTCCTTGCAATTATTATTCTGTTGTGAAAAGTGGCTGTTTGTATTCTGTATTGCCATTATTTGAGAAGGGGGGGGGGGGGGGGAATTAAAGTTTGTGACCATGATAAAATATTATTGTTATTCAGTTATTTAGGTCAGGTATTGAAAATCTATTGCTCATGACAACCAATCTGCTGAGCTGTTCTTTCAAGTGTTCTACGGTTGATCTCGATCTTGATAATCATTGTGATTAAGCAATCATTGGTCCTTAAAATCAAGTTAATGAAGTTGAAAAATTTAATATATTCTGCATGATAGTTCAGTTTCATAAAATCATGTCTTTGCTTATTATATTTTACAATTTGATAATTTTCATATTCAACCTAAAATGGATTGGAAGGTGACCAAAAGTATAAAAAAAATAATGTTAGATAACACAATCATAATGATAAAATAAGTGTTGCTTAAGATTGGGTTATAAAATATTTCAATAATTTGTATGACAAAAGAGAACTAGGATTTTTGTGCAATTGAACAAAGTGACACCTATGTTGCCCACTTCTGAAGATATTCACGTTTTATATACATATATATGAGTGTATTTTTTTACTGGATATTGATTTACTATTTTTCCTTTTATGTATTATATAATTAATTTGTATATTTATTTAATTCTAACACAGTACATCAATAAAGCCAGTATTCCAAGTTTCGAATGCTTTATGTTTCTTTTTAGAAAAATGTGACCTTCTGTTCCCAGCAGGCAAAGGCAAATCTTCAACCTTGAAAAGCAGATGAAGGTCAGACTTGTTTCAAATGTTTTTACTTGGCCTTTTCGGAAATTTGTCATAAAAGTAATTTCCAAAGCTCTCACACCAAAAACTATTTCAAACTGAAATTGGCAAAATCACATTCTAAAGTGTCAAGCACATATGATTGTCCATTAACATGAAATATTTTATTGCAAAACATCAACATTTAACAAGTGAAATGCATGTTCAAGTATGAAAAAGATCAACTGACAAACCAGTCTCCATTTAGTTTATCGTAACACCTAGCACATAATTTACCAAGTCAAAGTTCTCGGGAAATCTTATACATTGTTCTCTTTTTTTACCACAGTAAACTTGCTGTAACTAATTCTCTTTTTAGATAAGATTGGAAATGGCCAATGCATTTAATAAAGACCCAACTAGTAATGATGCCTTTCAACTCTTATGAAATTTGGCAATTTTATATGAATGATAAAGCTACTGCTTTACAACTTTTCAATTTCAGAAATCCTACATAAAAATTACCATAATTAAATAAAACTATTTACTGAGTAAAGCCATAGAAGTCTCTACTTCTATGGTAAAGCGTACCTGGGCCTACAATCCCAAATGTATCCATAATTATTACAAAAAATTCTTATTGGCAAATGGAAAGAAATTACTGCTTCATTTTGTCATGGCAACAATTAAGTGAGTAGGCCCTCTTTCTACAGCACATTGCCCCTATGCTCTGTCACAAGAAAAAAAATCAATCCACTTTTGAAAAAAATGAAATAAGAATCTTACAAAGTTTTTGAGCACTGAAGACCAGTGTCTGAATTCACTGTTTAGGCACAGATAAAATTTCTAACCTCCATGACACTTCTACGACATTTCCCCAATGTTGAGAGAGAGAATGCTGGATTTGTTAGTACCTGTATTGACTAGTTTTTTTTTTAAATCTTTTTTATCCAATTCAATAAAATTCAATTCAATAAAAAGTGAACAATTCAAACAATAACAATTACAAATGTCGAAATCTTTTTTTAAACCTTTGTAACAAGGAAAATATATACAAAAAAGTAATGTTTTACAGCACTGCACTACAACTGCTTGCTGTAATCTACTCAAAAATGTAAAAGTTAATATTCTTAAAGTGTAAAAAGATTATATTTTTGTTAATTTTTTAAGGAACAATATGTCCTTGGCAACAAACATTCGGAACCAAATCTTTAAAAAAAAAAAAAAGAAAAAAAGAAAATGAAAAAAACAGCATAAATAATGTGATTAAGTAGATTATCTTTCTGTAAAATCACAGCTTCTGAAAAGATACTTATTAGCTTTATGATAGTCAATGTATATAGATGAACAAATTAATTTTAATCACACATGGTTTGGCACATTATTATCTAATTTCAATCCGATTACCCTTCCTAGAAATGTACAGATTTCTGGGAAAAATATTAATTACGTTAATACATATAGCATGTCAGGTAATGATATCTAATTTGAAAAAGTGACAAAATGATTTAAATATTGTAAATAAACTCTTTCACAACAAATAGTGGTTAAAAATCTACTACACATGGCCAATATATTAGATCCTTTTCTCCGACCTACCATTTCTTATGGTAGTATAAAGTTGGGTGACCTATTACTTTCAATTAACATGGCTTATACCCCAGCTTTCTTTAATGCTGATCAAATATTCTGAAACCAAAAATTCCTAGTTAAAAACTGCCTAAACTTTCACAAAATCAAATGTTATTTTTAATACATTTAGTTATATGTTTTGCTGAGTTTTAATCAATATCTAATATTTGAACATCTATATTTAGACATCTAGTTATATGTATCCATCGAATTTTGATCAATATCTAAATATTCCTTAAACAAACTTTCCTTGTTTATAAATGCCTCAGCCTGGAAAGGACCAATGTTCTTAAGCGTCTTGTCATTCATATCTAATGCCATCTAATATTTATTAGCAAACCGCAATTTCCTTTTAACATTTACAAACTAATTAATGAAAAACTCCACCTCCAAATTCTTTCCATCAACTGACCAAATTAAAATGGTAAATTAATTGATAATGCACAAAAAATAACTCTGTTAAGTGTCAATGCAAAACACTCCACACTGGTGAACAGGGAAAGACCTTTAGAAGTACACTGAATCATCAGAGAAATCAAGGATTCCAAAATCTTCAGGGACCTAATGAAAAAGAATGTTCAGTATGAAACAACTTTTTCAAATAATCAACTGTTCATCGGCATTTTAAAGTTTAAAGTTCAAGTTTAAATAGATCTGATGTATCAAGCATATTAAAGGTTGTTGTGCTATGAAATTAATTTTTTTCCAAAAATGATATCTGATATCTCGAAAGAAAATAATAATCATATGAGAGCAACTTCTTTAAGGAAATATATACCTCATGAAGTTCTTTATGTGAAGGAGATCTTATGACCTTTTCACCAGGAACCATAGCAAACTCATTTGATTCAGGGATCAAACCATCTGACATCTAACAACAAAGCAAAGTCTTTTTTAAATATATAAGATTCTTAAAACATACAATAAAAAATGTGCCAATTTTTATTTGTCATATTTCTGGTAATCTTAAATTTGTGTGGTAATAGTAACAGACAAGGTAGAAACAATCAAAAATACAAATAACTTGGAAAAAACTTACTGAAATGATACATGTATTCAAACAGGTGAAATATCTATGTTAATCTCTTATTCTGTTCACTTACCAAATGCAGAGGGGACTTGTTTCCAACCATCTCATACAAACTTTCATCTGTAGCGTTGAAATCTATGTCAAAGTCGAGTTCTTGGCCAAAGTTGAGTGTGCTGCTGTCATTATCCTGGCTAACATTAATGTCCCCAGGAGGTTCATCACTGGAGTCTGGACCTGTGGATTTTTCCTCCAATTCCTGAGGATCTTTGGCTTCCAGTGCTTTCTCTTGTTTCTCAAGAAAATCATCAATGACTTCCACGGGATATGTCATCATCTTTTCTGCAATCCCCCCAAAATTGAAATTAACAAGTGCTTAGGGTATCTGCTAGCTAGGCTTATGTTAAATATAATTTTGTATAATTTTATATATAATTTTTTATATAACTGAATCTAGCACATAAAACAAACATTTACCATACAAAATGACTAAACATTATTGACATTTTAAGCCTTCTCACCAAAGTAAGGGAACACAAGGGTCAAATGAATTACTTTGTTCAGAATAAACATAAATGAAGTCAGTCAAAATGAAATATAATATGCACCTTCTTCAGTGAATAGAGAACTTGTAACTTCCTTCAGATCATCACTAAGATCACTACTCTGGGAGTCGTCACTAGAGTTCTCCACCATTGCCATGGTAACCATAGTTTCACGGAAATCTTCCGGGAGTTTCTGCCACATGTCTGCAATAGTGCTGGACAGACATTCTGGCTTGACGTCCAATTCTTTAGCCGTCTCCTTGTAAAACTTCAAGTAGCTATATATGAATGGGGAAATGTTCAGAATCATGTAACTTGTATATCACTTACAACCAAAAATGGAAATTGGAAAGAAAATATTATGGAGATATGACAGAAACCATTAAAATTAATGTGCAATGTGGTATATGCCAAGATTTATATGTGATGCAATTGAACTTTTGCAAGTTTTGACCATTTTTCAAAAAATAAATAAATAAATAAATGAATATTGTTGGTCTGACACATATGCACCTACCCATCAAAGTCCTGACAGTTAGGTGTGGGGGTAGAAGCAGGTTCAAGTGCCTGAAGAGCTACTGTGGCAGGTTTTGAATTGGGTGCTGGGCTACACGTAGATGGTTTGTCAGATTTCTTACGGCCAAACCTGAAAAAAAAGTTCATTCCATGTAAAACAGACTGACATATTATAAAATCAGCAACTTTGGCTGAAGAACGCAAAATATTATGTTGACTTGAAGAAAAGATCAACAGCTATTTTGATATATGATCTTATGCGCCTGAATGTCAATGTCCTAATTAATTCATATATAAAATACCTACTTGACCAATTTGGTTTGTGTTATCTGTGAATCATCTGATTTCAGTTCAGCACTGTCCTTAGCCACTACCTTGAACCTACTCTTACTGCGCCTCTGATACATCCTAAAGATAGAGAAAAATTTAGCTACATTAAGATAAGTATTAAGAATTAAGCAAACAATACCTAGTAAAACTGAGGGTAAAATTTTTGAGTGTAAAACTCAAAGTGGACTTAAGCTGTATGTCTTTACAATAATGCACTGAATACTCTCAAACATCAGAGTTCCCAAGTAAATCTATTGCTTTTGTCAACAGAATTGTGGAATATATTCCTACTTCAAAAAGTTGACCCACTGCAGATTATGCTGATAAAACAAAAGATGGGGTAAATTTTAGACGTTTTCCAACACATTTTAAATTGCTAATGGTTGACAAAAGAAACTACATACTTGGTCTTGAACACATAGTAAATGTAACTCAACAGTAGAATATCCAAGAATTAAATCACCTCTGTAAATGTAACATTTTAGAAATATGACATACAGAAACATAATTTTATCACAACACCATGACTTACAACACGTAAAAAATAATGCAGTATGCATAATACTTATGGAATTATATATAAGAAGCTGGGCTCTGTAACTCGAAATCATCACAAATTGCGACCGAGCGCAAGCATCTCTATTCCATAACTCGGGATATATACTTGCCCCATATAATAGCCTCGAAAGAAAAGGTGATATCGCTATTCACAATTCGTGATGCTTTTGAGCTACAGAGCCCTGGTTAATATTATATGATATTACATTACATTATACAATCAAATGGTTAAAATTTCATATATACCCCTCAAGCTTCCTTCTACACTTTGGGTTTTCACTCACAGCTGCCTCTCCAGGCTTTCTTTTGGTTGGTGTTGGGCTGTCCTCACTTTGACTGAAAAAAAATATATATATATTTGTTTGCTTTAAAAATTCTTCCCCCTGAAAGCACCATGCAACAGGTATTTTTTATCAAAACGCATTACAAGGCTAACAGTATACAATGACAATCAATGTGTCTATTCAGTTACATGTATATGTCCCAAGCATAGAACCAGATCAGCAGGTCACTGTTTATAACTTGCCAAGAATCACTTAATTATTTCCTCTCTGATTCTTTACGTTTGGATCATTTAAATTAGCATGATTGCAATTTTTAAGCAAGTTCTGAACATGCTTAAATCTGGCTAAGCAAATGTAAAATAATTTTAATTCATTATTTATCAACTTTTTCGTTTTGACTTGTAGCTTCTAAGATCCACTAGTCCTTGTGACAAGTGAGGTAAAATAAGTACAGAATGATGCACCAATGGTAATCATTGGAGACAGCCTAACTGTTTGCACTGTGTTACCTCATATGAGACAAGAAAATGTGAAAAAATGTGAAAAAACACTACACTCTCTAGCCTACCATTATTTCTGACACGACTCCACTTCAAATCCCTTGAAATCTCCTTTGATTTTACACTAAGTCATAAAGTTTTTGGCTTTTACAGATGATTCCCATCCCATTAATGTTAAAAAAGATTTTAAACATGCTAATGTATAAAGATCATTTAATAGATTTCAAAAATATTATAAAAGCACCACAACTTACCTTTGACTAAAATAAAGCCCATTATTCAGTTGGTGTTGGTTCTTGCTGTCCCTTGGAGAATTCCACTCAGAAGCTTCATCAGAAAAACTGAATAACAAAATGAAAAAAAAAAAATATGAAGAACAATTTTTTTACCACAAATAATTAACTGGGTTTTTGTGTCAATGTTAAACCATGCTTAATTACAGTATGTTGTCATTTAAAGTTAGTTTTTTCTACTGTTGCTTTTATTTCTTAAATGATCAATCTCAAGTTATGGGAAGAAAGCCACTCAACATTAGATAAAGAAGATTGATTATTAAGCTACATAGTTTATAATTCAGTCTTTGAAAACTGTACATTCTTATAGTTTTAACTAAACCAGAAATAAAAATCAGACCCTGTACAAATATATTACAAATTAAATGACCCTTTATTTACCCATCAATTTCATCCTCAAGATTAATGGCCTCCATAGTTTCATGACACAGCAAACTTTCATCATCTAGGTCCTGAATGTAATATAAATTTTACAATGTGTTTTTTGCTACAAGCACTGGTTTATCACAATAGAAATATCATATAATTTTAGTGGTCTGGGATTATGATGTCTGTTTAAACTGGTGGCAATGCAAAAGTTATACAAAAGTATGAACACTTGTAATGGAAAGAATATGCAATCTAGGTACTTAATAATATAGTCCATATTAAACATCAAATATAAGAAACTTGACATCGGATTTCATAAAAAAAGGCAAATCAAACTAATACTGAACCTCTGAATTACGAGCATCTGTCTGTGCATCATCTTTCCAGTTGTCAGGTAGTTTGATAGGAGTGAACCCAGGACTGTATTTCTGGTGAAATATCTGAAAAAAAAAAATCAGCAGAAATATTTTGATGCGTAATATCACCAAGTTCTCCTACACTAGTTGCTACCAGTAGAACGCTCTGGAACATTGTGCCCAATTTACTTGATCCTGCTCCCCATCATAAACAAAAATGGTTCCTTTACATCATGGAAATGTGAGATAGTCATTTAATTCTGTCTTTGATCTAGAGATCCACACATACCAGTATATACATCCAAATCAATCATTATTTTCAATTAATACATCATATTAAATATGACAGTTAAATCAAGCAAGATCGAGCTAACAGTGGCTTATCCCGAGGAGCAGCATTAGTACAGGGTGAACATTGTTAGCTTTTTCGAAGACGTAATTTCAAGACGATATATCCCACAACTTACTACCACATGATCCTTCTTGCTTGGTGTTCCAAGGCTCCAAGTCCCCTCCAAGTATGGTGCTGTTTCTGAGACCACATTCTCTATTCTCAAGGACAGTACAGATGTTAAGTCTTCCATACCATCCCCAGGGACCAATTGGGCCATGTCTAAAGGCCTGGACTTGCTGAGCCATCCATTTGGTTTGGTGCCAGGAGCTGCTGGTACTATTTGCTCAGACTTGTTCTCTTGTTTCTCTGAAGGTTCTTGTTTCTGGGGCAGTTTCTTGTTGATTTTTCCTTTGGTTTTCTTTTTGGACTGTATCTTCTCAATCGGTGGCATGCCAAATGCCTGTGGTTGGTTCTTTGTGGCATTCAACATCTGCCTTGTTAAGGTTTCGGTTATTGGTGGCTGCTTAGAAATTGCTGCTGCTGGATAAAATTCCAAAATTTCCAAATAAAAATTGAGGCTATTTTACAAAAATGTGATTTCTTGTACTAATCAAAGCCTTTTTTTTTATCACAGATAGATATTCACAGACAGTGAAAAAAAGAGCTTCTTTGATAAAACTTTACAAATCATTACGTATCTATTATACCCTGTTTCAGTTGTGGTTTCACTAAAGTTGGGCGTGGCAACAGCTGCTTTGGACCCAACACTGGACTATGACATCTTTCCAAACAAGCCAAGGAACCCGGGTGAACTGTCTCCAGTTTATCAAATACTTGACCCTGGGCATCACTTGGCACAACTTGATAGTCAAATGAGTCCCACGGATACTGCAGTTGACTTTTTATAGGGTTTCTGTTGACTTTGACAGCTCTTTCTTTAGCCTTACTAAAAGGAACACATATAAAAGTCGCATATAGTTATTGATTGATTGTAATATATTCCTTGCAGCAGTTAGATTTTTTATCTGCTTATTTAATATTTATTTATCAAGTATTATTATTCATGGACCTTTTTTATGTATTATCCAGTTATAATTTTTGCATAGCATAAAAAGAGTTACCTATTCCACTTCAAAAAGCAATAAAAAAACAAACAAAAAAGTTAAAAATTTTGTTTTAAAGAAAACTGCTTACCTGCTTTTTGTTTGGAGTTTTGCCTGGTGCTCAATGAACTGCTGCTTTACTTTTTCCATGCTCAAGTCTTCACTGTTACCAACCAGTTTAGCTGGAAAAAGCAAAATTTGAAATTGTTCAACAACAACAATCCACATTATTTTGGCTATCATCATAGTCACTTTCATCAATTTCACCAACTGTTACACTACTATTTTCCAAAATATTGTATATCTATATGATTTACCTTAGCAATAAATAAATTAATAAAACAGTAAATGTTTCTTCTTTCATTCTCAAAGCATGGAAATATGGGATGTCCTACCTTTTTCTTTCAAAAGCGTCTGCAGTAACCCTTCAAGAAATACCATATGCTTGGATGCTTCTTTCAAAATCATCGCCTAAAGTTAAAACCGCATGGTATCATATCATCCTAACTTCATTACAATATTATTACTGATTTCAAAATAGTCAATTCTTATCTTTAAAATAATAATATGGTATGTTACTTAAATACTTGGGTTTAAGGGTTATATGAATTTCAAAGAAAATTCTAAACAGCATCTTCAGATATGTGAGCCTGAGGTCACTACATTTTATGCACTGTAAAATTGTAATTGTAAAAAAAAAAAAAAAAAGAAGACGACAGGGGGAGGATGCACACCTTAGTAATTTTCATACGTCTTCCTTCCTTCCCATTGTTGTCAATTAAAACTATCTGTTTCAGGGTTTCATAACAGCCTGCAATGCTGGCCCGCCATTTAGCATCTGACCGACGACGACGCTGCTTTACAGACATCTTTCCTTTTCACATCAGGGCCTGAGAAGTAAATTAAGTATTAAAAAAATTCTGGGTACTTAAAAATGTACCCTCTACTATTCAAACAATTTAAAAGTATCAAAAAATTATTCACTCTGAAATTACCAAAATAATTCATTTAAATAGCACAGGCATTTCAATTAAAATTAAAGTCACCACATAAATACATTTAGAAAATTATTCAAAATCAAAGACTTATACATGCACTGACAAAAGTTTTTGGACATGTCCTAGGGGCAAACATGTACTCTCCCAAAATTAATACTTGCTGTGAAAAATGTCTATACATGCTCAAAAGTAGAATCACTCAAATATTTAAATACTCCCCTCCACACTTCCCTCTCTATGCTTACATAGACTTTTACACTTTTTTAAAAAAATGTAAGTCAGGTGAGAGAAATATCTAACAACTATGCTCAGAAAAACCATTTGGTCGTTTGCATTAATTTTTACTTGCCTGACAACTCCAATCACTTGCGGCCCTGGATGTACAGACAAGCCTTATTGTCAACACCTGTTACTAGTATGGGGTGGGGAATACTGCAAAAGAAATTCATTTTTCAAACAGTGATTCAAGCCAGGTTACCTGCAAATAAAGGCCAACTTGAAGTTATTTGATTAATAATTTGATTAATAATTTTTTAATAGAGAATCTAACAATTAACTTCACACATAAATTTCACCTACTCTATATTCAAACAGACTGTAATAAAACATGGTTGACTCTAAGAGGTGTCATATATTTCTCTATGCAACTTCAAGGTTAGAATACAGATACCATACAAGTAATGCATATGCCTAGAGAAATATATATGTGTTTACAGTAGTTCTGTTATCTATTATTTTGAAACATCTCCAGATCGCCAGTCCAAGTCACGATTAACGCAATAAATTAGTGAATAATAAAAAAATAATAATTGAGAATGCACACTATACAAAAAAGTAAATGTTTTAATCTTCATGATAATCATAATTGCCGTTGCGAATAACTGCAGATCATGATGCAGCTTTGTTGTTGATGATTGACACAACAATTTCATCATTGAATGTTTGCGGTGTTATTCAAATCTAAGCCTGACCTTTTAATTTCTGTATATTTATCTCTTCAACGCAACAATGACAGAAATCAAATTTAGCACTAAAACTACGTCAAACAAACCATACTTGCCTCTGAAACGCTTTAGTCGGTGAAGAGCACTTGTTGCCTGCAGGTTAAAAATCCGGGGCCGTAGCGATAGTCCGAAGGTTCAATAGTCCGAAGGTTCATTGGTCCGAATGTTCACTATAGAACCTTCGGACCAATGAACCCTTGATTAAAAAATCGATGAAAATGTTACCACTTTTCGGACCAATGAACCTTCGGACTATCGAGACGCCCCCAAAAATCCCACGCTAAGGTGTATTTTAAAAACATTCGAGTACAACCGTTTCCCACGCTCAATGTCAGTTTCCAAGGCGACAGTAATATTAAAGAAACAATGTTAAGAGATACCCTGGATGAAAAGAAACAACGTGTTACTTTTTTTTAATTTCGCGCAGCACTCATATAAAATTTCGCGCCTTTCACCGCATGAAAATTCACGCCACCTATCGGTATGTTGAAAAACATGGCTAGGTGTTGCAGACGTCTCACCGCTGATATTGCGGGGGAGTTTCTTGCATCTGTGGACACCTTTCTATTCGATTGTGATGGTCAGTCAGTGATATACTAAACAAGGAATTAAACGGGTTCCTTAGCCAGGTCTAATGCATGTTATGTGGCGTAGTATGAATGTATTGTAAAGGGACGTGGAGGGGGGGGCGGCGTAGGAGGAAGGCACAATGCTAGCACGAATTTCATGCGTTTGCCCTCCAAATTACGGTTTCTTATATGTACTGGATGGCAGTGGATATCCATGAGTACTGACTGTACTGGGTCTTTTAGCAGAATTTCATAAAGTTTGCCCGTCACTTTTCCATATCACGTTTTAGGTTTTACCAGTATTTACTTCCCCCTCCCCATATGGTACTAGTACATGTACAGTATAACAAAAAAAGTATATGAAAAAGTATATATATATATATGCAGTTCAAATTTACAGGACTCTGCATAATGTTTAAAAGACTTTAATACTAAATTCATAGATTTATGTACTAATGATGACTGGTGTGATTTGTGTTATAATCATCTAAATTAAGTCATGGAGTAACAATTAAGCAACTTTTTGATGAATGAAAAATAATTGCAATTTTTATGGTTGAATAGCATTCTTGGGTAAAATGACTTAAAATTGTATAATTACATAAGTACTAGTAATTATTTTTTAAAGTCTGGATAACTAACAAATTAATTAACAAGAAGCCTAACCGCAGGAACAATTACAACGTACTGTAATGCATACAAGTTATAAAAAGCCACTTTTATCAAATAAAATGGTGTATTTTTATTTCTAATTCAGGTGTCTTATGGAATCACCAAGATGCCACTCCTGGTGCTGTGGAAACTTTAGATAAGCTTAGAAATCTGGTAAGTTGATTGAGTATATTACAGAAAACAGAGTATTCAGTCCTCAGCCAACTCAAAATGAAAATAGTAAAGAAATAAACTTTTTGAATTCTAAAAAACTGTTGAAATCTTAATCACTTCCTTTTCCCTCCTGAATAACTGCATATCAGTCTACCATGAAATTTTCATCAAAATTTGTGAAAAACTGTGTGCATGCAGCAAAACAACTGCTATAATCAGCAATTTTACACAAGGCTGCTTACACAATGAAAGTATTCTAGTACTAATAGTCTATGGTTGTTCAAGCAAACGCTGCAGGAACTCATGCTGAACCAATCAGATTAATATATAAGCACCTTTCCTCTTGTTTCCAACATATTCGTATAATCACCAATTTTCTGTATTCTACTACACACCAGGAGGAGCCACATTAATCTTTGAAATCTGACTGCATTCAGCGAGAGTCCACACAGAGTTGGTCCAAACTACCTACTCAGTAGCTTCATTGTGAACACACCCTAAAATAAAACAATGTGTTGTCACCTCTGTGACAGCTAGCTATTAAGATGCTTTCTTTCATTATTGCTTTATTTCAACACTGAGTATAGCCTATGTGAAATGATCAAACTGTAATTTAAATGTTTGCCTTTGACTATTTCAGAACAAAAAGGTATTCTTTGTAACCAATAACAGCACCAAAAGCAGAGCTGACTATGTGAAGAAGTGTTTACAGCTAGGATTTCATGCTGAAGAGGTACAATATAAGTTTATTCTGAACCTCGGGAGTGTAAGTACATGTATAAGTTTATAATAACACTCACTAGTTAGTAGTATTGAGTGCCGTGTCAGAACAATGTGATGATGAACTAAAAAGTATAAATCAGTGATTCTGCATATTACAGGATGAAATCATATGCACAGCATTTGTAGCAGCACAGTATTTGAAGTCTATCCTGCCAGCCAACAGTAAGGTCTATGTGATGGGTATGCCAGGGATGCTACAGGAGCTTGACAAGGCTGGTATCAGACATATAGGTAGTGGGGTAAGTAGAGAATAGTGGTGATGTATTATTGGAGTGAATTATAATTTCTCTCTTATGATTTTTAGGCTTTACTTGAATGAGGTCACGTGGCCTAAGCCTCATCCTTCTCTCCTCCTCTCTCTTTTGCTCTCACTAAGCCAGGGAAGACTCGTGCAATAAAGCTTTAATTCTATTTTTTAATTTTAATTCCCCAGTAGGGGACAAGAAAAGTAGCTGTCCACATCTCTGATTTATGTACAGGATTTTGGATAAAAGGCTTATAAACTTAGGAGCTTCTTTTAAATTGTGTTGAATATTTTAAGTAACACAGAATGAAATTTATTGCAGCCTGATGTTATTCACGGTACAATCACAGAATGGGTGCAGACAGAACTGGACCCAGAGGTGAGTGGCTGAAAGTGCATTCAACAGGCTGACAATAAGTCACACCTAGCACACTATTAATGGAACTACACCTAACACACTGCAATGGGTCACACCTAACACATTGCCATGGGTCACACCTAACACTGACAAACTATGAGCACATTCGGAGCAGATGATCCACCAATCAAATATGGCTGACACCACTTAAAAAGCAATGCCACTTATGCCCTGGTGGTCTCCCTGCCTCCACAAATGCCATTAAACGGATTAAATCTCATCTCCGAGGTTTAATTGCTAGACCCCTGCAGCGATGGCACACGTTGAGGTGGGGAAACCAACAGTGGAATTAGAAGCGCCACTTTTTGAGTGGGGTCAGCCATATTTTGTCTGCGGATCACTTAGTCCACAAATCATGTGTTCTGAACGTGCTCTATACTTATTATTATACATTGACAACACTGCACTTTAATTTATGCTCTTTCTGTCAACAACACTCATTAAACTGTTTGCAAAAGTTGTAAAGAATGAATTTGGGTAAAATTTCTTTAGCATGTTACTAAAATAATGAATTTTATAGAAAAAGAATATATTAAAATAGATGAGTTATTCTAATGTTATCATTAGCTTTTATTGAATGTAATAATTATTAAATTTCACATCAGTTCACACCATAAATGGTTCTTTAAATATTCATACTTTCTTGCTAGAATGCGCCTCAGCGATCAATTCTGATTTTTATGCTATAATTTTCCCTCTATTTTTAAAAAGGTGAACTGTGTGTTATTGGGCTTTGATGAAAACATCAGTTATCTTAAAGTTATGAAGGCAGCATCTTATGCACGTCGCAAGGGTGCATTCTTTGTGGCCACAAATGAGGACAATGAACTTCCAATGGATGGGCCAATAGTTATACCAGGTTGGTACTTCCAGAAAATTTATTTTCCTCTGATTTACTGCAATTTCTTTTCATTGTTTATTTTTGTTAAATATCCTTATGGTCAGTGTTTTCCAAATTCAAATTAAGGATAAGGCAAGTGACAAAAATGTACTTTTTATTATCTGAAAACCAATTGCCAAGTTCTTTTTATCTTTTATGCAATCTAGAAATTTTTTGTTTGTTTGTTTATTTGTTTTATTTGATAATTTTAATCATACTTATTTTATATTTTCATTTTCAGTCACATTTAATTGAGCTTATTTTATTTTAATACAGTACAAGAAGTAAATTTGTGACTCTTCTGTTTTTCACAGGTACTGGAGTTGTAGTGGCCGCAGTGAAGACAGCAGCTGCTCGAGATCCAATTGTAGTAGGCAAACCCCATCACCCTATGTTTGATATGATAGCTAAGTCATTCAATGTAGAGCCAGACAGAACAGTCATGGTGGGAGACAGGTAAGGACACTGTTTTACATCAGAAAAAAGTCACACTGGTGCTGTGGGTATGTTTGGTAACCTTTAAGCCAGCAATATCCTTTTCTAAAAAACCAGACCTTTTTACCCCCACCCACTCACTCATGTATGGGCCTGCAATGTTTGGGATAATTTTATTCTCTTGAAAATTCAGTTTAACCATATGTCAATTCCAGTTTCTGTCTGACTAATGATCCACAGTGTCCTTCTGTCATTTAGATACGGTAATGTGCCATAAATTTCGAACAGTAGAAAATAATTAAATTTGGGAAAAGATCGTTCTGGCCGAAATTCATGAAATGGAGGTGCTCAGAACTTCTGAAAGTTCGAATTTCATGGAATTCTGTCAATTTTGACCGGAAGTTGTCTGTTCGTCGCTAGGCCTTCTGTTATCTTCTCCCGACGATCTATTTAGAGTTACCATAATGTATGATGTGTGAGTGTCGGTAATTGCGACCAAAGGTATACACGTACTTTCACCTGATCACAGTGTATGGCCCATAGATAGAGCGGTACTGTTGTCTAGGGCCGCAAAACAGCATCGTTATCAGTAGTGTCGTTTTTCAAAAGCGATTCTGGCAGTCAGAAACTAGTGTCGTTTTTCAAAAACGATCCTGGCGCTCAAAACGGGAGTGGACGGAGGGAGAGACGGCCGNCTGGCCGAAATTTATTGTCCCAAAAAAACCCCAGACGGCCGATTTTAAGATCGTTCGAAATTCAAGAGCCGTTCGAAATTCATGGCACTTTACCGTATATGCGTATGCATCACATATTATTCACCTGCCTCATTTTTCTCACTCATTGTCATGAACTTGATTTATTTTTATATATCACTTCATTTCCTGTATGTCATCCAGTCTTATGTTTATTTTCTAGGTTAAACACAGACATCATGTGGGCAAATAATTGTGGACTTCATTCTATTATGGTCTTGACGGGTATAGCAACTTTAGAAGAGGCTCAACACCTAATGACCAGCAATTCTATAGAACACCAAAAGCAAATACCAGAATTTTATTTAGACAAGATAGGAGACTTGGAGGAGTTCTTGAATTGATAATAAAGGACACATAGTTACATAGATCAAGAGATGAAAATGTCCTAATTAAATGTTATTGATGTGCACTTGGTTAACAGTATTATCCATGTCATCATGATTGAAATTTCCAATTCAGTTTAATCTTATCCATTTCATCATAATTAGAATTTCGAATTCAGCTTCATCTTGGGAGCTAAATGATTTGATACATATACCTAGAGATTCTCCAGGTCACTCACTAATGGTGTCTTGTGCTGAACAAAATGTGATAAATTCCTTCCGGGACTGAATCTGTCTACTGGACCATTGATTGCCCAGTCTAAAGGTGTGCGAAACAGCAAACGTCTCTCCTGGGCTCCGTAACTCGAAAGCATCACGAATTGTGATTGAGCACAAGCTTCTCTCTTCCATGACTCGGGGGGGATTTACTCACCCCATTCAACAGCCTCAAAATAAAAGGTGATATCGCTATTCACAATTCACGATGCTTTCGAGTTACAGAGCCCTGGTCTGCCCTTTTTGACTTATAGCAGTATCAACAGGTCCGGACAATCCTGTCCAATGAGCAGATGTGCTTTATTTACATCTGGAATCTCTGTGATATTAAGGTTGTTGAGATGCAGCCAACGCTTCAATTCTACCTCATGAACTAGGCCTGAGAGATCAATGTTAAGCTCCTGTCTCACAATGGTTCTTTTGAGGTGTCTTGCTGTCCTGTATATCGCTAACTGCAGTGTAAGTAGTTGCCACTACAGTTTCTATCTGGAGCCTTTCTTGTGATATAGTGGTGAATTCTTTGTGGCATTTGTGTCCCATTGCTCCCAGTTTTCTACCGAGTTCTTCTGTGCAATAGGTGGCGTTTGTTCCAATATATGACATGGCAAAGTCTCTACATGGGAGTCGGAGTCTGGGTGTCTAATTCTAGCTGGAAAAATTGGGAGCGCTTATTTTCCTTCTGAGCTGTTTACAAAGTTGTTCATCTGCAGTTCAGATGCTGGTGTGTGCTGGTTGTTGGACTGTGGCACAACCGCTGGCGTAGTGTGGTTGCCCTGTGATGGATTGTGTGTAGGAAAATGTAAAAACATCCATCCTTCCACCCTGCATCAGATGGTGCTAAGACATTTCTTGAGTCATGCCCCGTTGCAGTAATTCATCAGGCAAGTAAGATTTATTCCAGGATCTGCTGACTTGTTGTCCACTGTGTTTTTAAATGCTCTAATGCATGGCCAATATTGGAGTGGGTTTCCACCAAACTTCTGCAGTTCATTTCTTGGTAACTGCAAGGTGTCAACAACAGTGTGTTGTTGAATCCTGGATTCTCTAGCACTTAAGGCACTGGTGTTACAATCTTCAGGGGAAATAATACACCATGGCTCCCTCAATAATCTGGGGGGTTTAGATGGGCTTGAGGAGTGCTCTGGCTGATATTTCCTGTCTCTGGTACCTCTTCCTCTGCATTTATTCTTCTTTCATAGTTACACTTAATTATTGATTAATTATTCTATTGTCTAAATTGTGGCTTCACCAGATGAGCTGTCAACCATGGTTAATACAGAAGGATGGCAATTATATAATTATGATTGATATTATTTAAGTTATATTTTACTGATACAATTCTAACCTATACAAGACATCTAGTCATTGCATAGCATCAATAATTATCTGTTTATGTATTATTTGTTATTGTATTAATTTCCAATATATATATATATATAACAGGTCAACTCTTGTAGCTCAGCCTCCAAGGCATGTTTTTTTTTCCATCAGTCACAGCTGCTGATGCTCTCTCTATTTCCAGTTGAGCTTTTTTTTTTTTTTTTTTCTATTTTTTTCAAATTCCATCAGCAGTTGTTTCCTTACTCTTGCTGCTGTGAAATGGCATCTAATTCTTTGTGTGGGTCAGGTTGTGTTGTCAGGAACACTTCGTCCTCTTCCTTTAAGGTATCCATATATTTCAGGAATATTAACGTCAGGAATATTGAACTGTAGCAAGGAGTTACAACAGAAACTCCTTGACTGTAGGAACTCTAAATTCTGGGTATAACAGAGGAGTGTTAAATAATGCAGTCCATCAGGAATATCAAAGTCAGGAATTTTTAACTCCAGAAAATTTAAACTATAAGACGCGTAGTGTTAGGAAGGAAGTAAAAAGACTTGCTATATGATATATTGTTTATTGTCTCATCAAGTATTGTGCACTCATCATTGACGATTTAAACTGAAATAAAACACTTAAGTCCTTTAATACAATAGATATAGAACCTAAATTACCACTAAAATATTCAAAATTGTTATAATTGAACGGCCAAAAACTAATTACATCAGCAGCTTTGCCAAGCTTTCTTCTTATTGCAGCCGCATGTTGAAGCATTGATTCTCTGCGGCGTTCGATAGCGGCTCCTCCCTTCTCTTTAGTTCCTTTGCATCTTTCTTCATTGCAGAAGGTGGTCTGCCTATGCATGGCCAACACGCCCTCTTGCAATCCTAAGAGCATTTGCCAACCGATTTGTAAGAGGTTCAAAACACGACATTTCGAATAGAATTCTTGAATTGAGATTTACGCAAATGTAAATCGAATACAGAAAAAGTGTTGCCGCATCGCAACTCGATCCCGTTTCTATCTATCTATCTATTGTCTTCTGCGCATGTGACGTCTCCATGCATGGGATATGAAAAGTTATAAAGAGATTTTGATTATGACGCCTTGTTGCAAATAAAAACTTTGTTGTTGTGAAAAATCGTTTGTTGGTTTCATAAGTATTCTCTTAGATAATGACAAAATATTTAACCGTAGACATTACTTTAAGAATATCGATATCTTTAAAATGGCAGAATAGCCCCAATTTTTAAAAGTATATCGAGCGAAATCTCGCCACAAATTGCTCCACTAAAATGAATTTCCATTGCATTTTCGATACTGCTTCCCGTATTGCCCTACTGCAAATGGCACTATTTTTTAAATTTTATTTCGGAACGGAATTAATCACTATCTCTCGCTAAGCTTCATTGAAGGAAATTAAACTGAAGAAGCCACTCGTTTATGTCCAAGTGGGTAGCCTAATGATTGCCACCGAAATCGAATTTCCAATAAGAGGGTCCCAGTGGGTATTTTTGTGACCCGTGAAAGCCACTATTTATTTCCCGACATGTGTGAAACATTTATATTTTATTTAAATAAAGCGTGATCCGTGAACAGGGGCGGATCCAGGATTATTTGAAGGGGGGTCCGCGGATGCGAAGCCGACCCCCCCCCCTCCTCCTCCTTTGGCGTGGGGTTCGGGGCCAGCTGAAGAGACCCGACATTTTTTGGTATTTTTGAGGGCGAACGGTGCCATTTGGCACGGTTTAGAACTATGATGCAGCTAGTCAAAATTCTAATTACAAGAGGGGACCAGAAATCTAAGGGGAGTGGATGAATACTAAGTGGTAAATAATAACTTGAACTATTTTTTTACACAACGTGTTGTAGATCTACTTTATGAAATTCGCTCAGTTAGTTACATACAATTGCTATGCAGGGTTACTAAAGGTGATTTAATGAAACATCGCGCCAACCAGTGTTAGAAATAAAGGCTGGACCGTCTGCCCGGGGCTGACAACTTTCAGAACGGGCTGAGAAGTTTTCCCACCAGGCAGACATTCAGTCCAGCTACTTTTCAAGATGTCTGGACTTTCGGTACAGCAACTAATTTTCCTAAGAGGCAAACACTGGCGCCAACAGTTTCTTTCATAATTTTCAAAACAAGAGAAACTTAATTTAATATAAACATATACCAATTCTTTAAATTATTTTGCTCAGTTTTAATATTATTTGTGTTTTATTCGTGCATACACATTAATTCTCTAGAGTTTACTTATGGAAAATTACCTTTAGATGTAACATACAAGAAAATTCAATAAACGTGTGGAAACAAATTTGTCCTTTAAAAGTGTCCATCTATGTTTTAAGAAGTATAAAGAAAGAAAAGTATCAATAACCTTATTACGGTTACGCTGTTCCGTAAGATTGAATGAAAATCTCGCCTTTTTATCACAATCCCGCCCCAGTTCGTTCATTCGACCTATGAAAGCTGATTTATATGCACAGTCAGGCAATGTCAATTATGTTGACTTTGAAAATTCCTTTTTTAATTCTATTCATTTTTGTTGTGTGTGCGTGTGTGTGTCATAATGACTTTATCAAACCCTAATCCTTTTTTCAAGATGGGGTTTGTTGTGCCTTCTCATAAAAAAAGTTTACCGAAGCATCCGCTGGGAAAGTAGGTGACCTCTTCATTATTATGTAAATCAGGTGACCGTTTTGGTGAGAGGTGCTCAGATAGGACCAAGGTCAGTAGAAGATGGAGAAGAAGGGTGTCCCATGCCATTTTACTGCTACTGCAACACGTAGGCCGAAAAGATGGCACTGAAACCGGCAGCATTTCTCGTAAGTTCCGTACAGATGATAAAAAAGTATTGTAGCATCTCTTAGTTTTGCAATGACGATATTTTCTCGAAATGGTGCACTCGAAGCATAATGACCATGGGGACATATAATTGACGTGAAGAATACTTTCTTTTAGCTTTCCCTCAGTGTCTTTTGGGCACCCTTTTGTTTCTGATACCATTAACTTTCCATGAGGTTTCAATACTATTAATACTAGTACATATACTTGTATAATTTGCAATTTTAAGTGTAATTTGTTAATTATAACACAAAGGAAACTGACACGAATTACTGTAATGAACATGTACTGCTTTATCAGATTTTTAGATTTTTGTTTCATGAATGTGAATTTATTCCTTTAATTCCAGTGACTCTAAGTACCGTTTACGAAGTTACCAGAAGCGTCCCACTCAGAGACACGTTTGGTGTTCGACACATACAGCCCCAAACCCATGCCAAGATTGCCTACTATATCGACGTTTGTCTTCTTGTCAATTTGCAGGGACGACATTTAGTACGGAATGTTATGTTTGCTTTTGGTTGTAACAGTCTGCTCCAAAACGTATATCAAATTAACAGTTGAATAAAATGAGCTTTTTATGTACAGACACAGATGTGTCTGTACATATAGCCATCATCTGCGTCTGTCGTCGCCGTCGTCGCCGTCGTCGCCGTCGTCGCCGTCGCCGTCGCCGTGCACTTTTACCGATAACACGATAAGTGGAAAACCATTTTGCCTTTTGATTTGAAACTTGCAGAACTGATGAATATTCATAATACGCAGGTCAATTCGAAAATCAGCATGATCGGGTCACTCTTAGGGAATTTATGCTGTTTTTTCACTTTTTTCAACATATATGCAGCACCGATAACACGATAAGTGGAAAACCATTGTACCTTTTGACTTGAAACTTACAGAACTGATGAATATTCATAATATGCAGGTCACGTTCGAAAATCGGCATGATTGGGCCATTTTTAGGGAATTTATGCTGTTTTTTCACTTTTCAATATAAATGCAACACTGATAACACAATATAAGAAAAACGGATTGGCCAATTGGCATTATATTCACAGGAGTGGTCAATCTTACTAAAACGCAGGTTGAGTTCGAAAATCAGCATAATCGGGCCATTATTTTAGAAGTTATACTGTTTTTTCACATTTCCTCAGATTCAATTATTAGGCATGTTAACAGTTTCATTATTGAACTAATTAGATGCGTAAAAGTGTTTGTTTGATATTTCCTGCATCTTTACAACATTGTTAGTTGATTATGTAAAAAAACATGGTAAACTTGTTATCATGTATTGTGTAATAAAGTGTCAAAAATGGAAATAAACTCATATCATTGCAGTTTGTCAGATTCAATCATCCACTATGTTCAGAATCTCAGAATGGAGGAAATTGGACATTTAACACTGTTCTATTGATACTTTTCCCATCTCATCAATTTTCTTAGTTGGTCATATAAAAATGGCAGTAAAATGTTTATTTTGTTTTATGTTAAAAAAGTGTTAAAAATGGAAATAAACCCATTTCAGGACAGTGCTGTCTTGTTTACATTTTGGCATTTTCAAGATGTGACTTTGAAGTTCCATGGGCCTGAAGACCTTTGCTTGTCATGTTTTCTGAATGTCCATGTTACTAATATTTTATTAATAACATTTGATGGTTATTATGCTGTTAAACATTATGTAACGTTGCATCAAAATTTGAAGAAACCCCTATTTAGGGCACTGCTCCTATGATGACCATTTAAGGGAAAACATGTCACTTGCTGTTCTCAAACTTACAAGAAAGAAACATGGGTCTAACATACAGCCTCAGTAGGCAATGCAGTCTGTTTGGTAAATTTTTCTGGCAATTTAACAGTTTTTTGTGAAAATTTAATTTTTCACTTATTGACATTTTCAAGGTGCGACTTAGAACCTCCACGGGCTTGAAGACCCTTGCTAGTCACATTTTCTGAAAATCCATGACACGTATATTTTATCATTTAAAATTGATGGTCATTATGCTGTTAAGCATTATGTAATGTTGCATCAAAATAGAAGAAAACACAATATTTGGTGCTGCTGCCATGATGACCATTATGGGAAAACGGTGTTACTTATTACTGTCAAACTTTCAAAAAAGAAACACAGGACTAAAATGCAGCCCGAGTTGGAAAAGCAGTCTAATTGGCTTCTTTTTCTGGAAGTTATACACTTAGTGAAATATTCATTATCTTTTTGGCATATTCATTGTGGGACTCAGAGCTCCCATGGACATGAAGCCTAATGGTAATCAAATTTTCTACATGTCCATGCTATTTATAGTCAATAATCAAAAATTGGTGATAATTATTCTATAATTTATTATGTAATGTTACATCAAAATTGACAATAATCTTTTTGCACTGCTACTGCAAACATTATGAAAAGAAAACTGTGTTACTTATTATTATATTTAACTTATAAGTACGATTTTTAGGATTGGCATGCAGTTCAAATTAGAAAGCCAGGTCAATTGGGTCATCATTTTTATTAAATTTATGCATTTTTTGTGAAATTTTCATTTTTCTCATTCTGGCACTTTCTAATTGAAAACTTGAACTCTGATGGGCCTGGAGCCTTATGCTTTTACTTTCATCAGCGTTACCTGTTGTGCATAATTAAAATTTTATGTTGACTGTGCAGTTAAACATAATGTATTATTGCATCAGAATTGGGCAGTCTCCTGTTTTTGTGCATTATTGTTTTCTGCTTTTCTTAAGGTGTGACTTATGGGCCTGAAGACCTTTGATAGACAAATTTGTGTGGTCAGTCTGTTAATTCCCCTTGGGTATTCACAAGGCTAATTTCAGTGCTATAAACTCATTTACCTAATTAAGTAGCCATTAATTGAAATTTCATAAAGCACACTTGTTGATATTTCCCTGTTAAGCTCTCTGCTAGATAACATAGTGTCCATAATAAGGAAGCAGTGAATAACAGCTTCATTAGAATTATATTTTTGTTGTTTCTATCTAATTTTTTCTCCAACACTGGCATTTTTAAGATGTGATTTTTAACTCCCATCCACCTGAGGCTGTGCACATTTTCAGTATTTCCACATAAGCAGCTGTATTGGTATTTATGTCTTTAAACACGATGTAATATTATTTTATGCACTGTCATCATTTTTCATATATAGG